ATGGGCTGTGCACATGTGCATGTATGGTGCGGCCTCGCCGCATCCTACGCGGATCGCATCAAACATGAGTGTGGAGCCTCCGGACCTCGCTTGGCCCACATTCGACTTGCAAGGATTTTACTCAGGACCATTGGGCCGCTGCCCACATGTTCATCACAATGCTGTGGGCCGAAAGGGTGCTGATTGGGCCACCAGTCAGCCCTTCCCGAAACCCTTCTTCCAGGAACTTGCTGACATGTCTTGTGCGTTCGCTTCGGACCATCGGTCCACTGACCAAGGTTTTGCAGGTGCCGAAGCTTTTGCAGCATTCCTCCTTGAACGAGGTTCGGGCATCACAACCCATGATGCTGAGGCCCTCTTCCATTTGCTGCCCTTGGAAGCGCCGCATCCAGCTGCTCAAGGTGAAAAGGTTTCTTCAGGACAGGCTTTCTTCGGAGGGGCCTTCCGGAATGGCCCGTTCCACGGTTTGCGGCAGAGCTGCGCGGCTTTCCCAAAGTCCTTGCAATGCTTCACCAAATTGCTGCGTTCGTCCTTCCCGGGCGAGGTATTCAGTTCTTTCGCGATTTTCTTGAATTGCAAAGCAGAGATGCATCGTGACAGCCGGAATGCCCCCTTTCCTAACTTGCTCCTCGCATTGTCAAATTTCGATCAGGGCCACGTCTGGGTCGAGGATGCCAAAGGACTCGTCTTTCGTGAAGTGCGCGGTGAGCTCCGCCCGGGCTGCTTGTTGGACGTTGCACAACAACCTCAACGTCTCATGGCTCACACGTGCTTTCATCAGACCGAGCCGTGGCACGGCGACCGTGTCCTGCTGGTGGGTTTCACGATTCGGGACCCGTGCGCTCTCAGCTCAGAACATGTCCACACATTGCAAACTGGAGGGACCACCCCGGAGGCTCCGGTTAACACCCCGGCAGAAGGGCCCACTCTGCCGGCACCCGACACTAGTCACTGTCTTCCCGCTTCCCCAGGTCGTGCCGTTGTGACAGATGACGATGAAGAGTTTGATCCTACAACTAGTCGGTGTCGGGGTCCTCCCATTAGGTGCCGGCACACTCCTGAGTGGAGAGAGTTGATTGACGGCTTCGGCTTGTGCTCGCCGGGTCGATGGCGACCGGTGGCAAGGAACGCTAAGGCTAGTTCGGAGGAGTGGGACCATGCACAGGATCTTCGGAAGATCCTCCAACGCGCTGTGCATGCGACCATCCCAGACCTCCGTAAAGCTGCTTACCTCTTAGCGGCGGGACGGATGCCATCTTCACCTTTCAGCAGCAAGCTGATTGAGGACACGCGTAAACAGATCGCTAAGACCCTGCCCGATCCTGAACAGGCCATGTGCCAGCCGGCAGGGCAGCCTTTCATGTTGCACATGATGTCCCAATCGCTTAAGCTCCTAGGGGATCCGGACTACGAAATCCTTGACCAAGGGAATGAATGCTTCGCCGAGGGTGTTCCTTTGGGGTGGGATAGGCCAATCCCCCGCACTCCTCAGGTTTTCCCTAAACGCACGCACTTCAAGAAACTGGATGAGTCTGATTTTGACCCGTCGATGTTGAATTACCGCTCAGCCGAGCTGAATGCTGATCAACTGGAGGAGAAGTTCCGTCAGGATGAACAAGCTGGCTTGATGCTTTGCACTACGGAGCTGGAAGCTCGCCGGAAGTACGGCGAGGACTCGGTACTCATCGCGGCCATGGGCGCCGTCACCAAGGCAAACGGTGATGTGCGCCCATTACACGATGGGACCCACGGCATCAACTTGAATAACTCGATCAAGATTCTTGACAAGCTGCAAGTCCCAGGACCGGAAGATCTTCAGGAAGTTGCCTCCCGGGTCAAAGAAAGTAAAGAAGCCCCTTTCACACTTTGTGCCGACATTAGTCAGGCCCACAGGAATGCAAAAATCAGGGAGTGCGACTGGCCCCGGTTAGCATGTAAATCTTCTAGCACTTCACGTGTCTTATGGCTCAATAAAGTAGGAACGTTCGGGGTCAGCTCGGCGGCTTACTACTGGACGCGCTTGTTCGCCACTGTGGGAAGGTGGACCTTCCGCGTGTTGCATCTTGATAAATTTTACATGCTAATTTGTGTCGATGACCTTCACGTGGTGGTGTATGGTGCAGACAAATTTGAGACGCTGTGGCTCCTCTTCTTGGCGATGGAAGTCTTGGGGACGCCCTTCTCCTTCCACAAGTTCAAAGGGGGTGTCAACGTGGATTACATCGGCTATCACATCAGTTACTACGACTGGGCTGCCGGGATTTCCGAGAAGCGTGCTGCTTGGATCGTCGAATGGGTGGACCGTGCGGAAGCCGCGAATTGGGTGGTGACCGGCCGGGCACTGTCTGAGTTCACGGGTCGCTTGAGCTTTGTGACCCGGCTCCTCACATGGTTGAAACCGTTCCTGGCCCCGCTCTTCGCTTGGGGCAATGCGTTGAACCGGAGCACTGCGGCTCAGGCTCCTGAGATGGTGATCCACGTGCTCAGGTTTTACCGCTGGCAATTCTTGAATGGAGCTCGGTTGGATGCTGTTCACATGTGCTGGCCTTCCCGCGAGCGGCAAGCCTTCAGGACAGATGCCAAATGCGAGGCGGGACGGATCGTGCTGGGTGGATGGTCTCTTGACCATGGCTTGGACACCCGCCGGGCACCTTGGTTTGCGTTAGAGGTCTTCCCTTCTGATATGCCGGCACTGTTCAAGGAGGATGGGTCATCCGAATGGGCTTCGACAGCTGCGGAGTTGCTGGCTTCTTATGCTGGCTTGGTTGCATTTAAGCACTTGGAGCCGGCCGGGGGTCGCGATGCACTTCGCTTGCAGGTCCATGCTGGCACGGACAATTCAGCCACGCCAGCCGTACTTGAGAAAGGGATCAGCAACAAGTGGCCTGTGCAGGGCCTGCACATGCAGATGTCGGTTTCGCTGCGACAAGCCAATAAGGTGTGTAAGTTGTCATGGCGCCCGCGCGAGGAGAACCAGGACGCTGATGATCTGACGAATCTCAAACTTGACAATTTCGATCCCGCCTTGCGGATCCCGCTATTGCTATCGGATATCCCGCTTGATCTTTTCAACCGCCTTCAGGACTCCCATGCGGGTTTCTTGTCTGAGAAATCCAGGTTGTCAAACTTGAAGCGGCATGAGCCGAAGGCAACGAAGAGGCAGAAGCTTTTGGATAAGACCAGCTGGTAAATCGGTGCGTTCACGGGGGCCGCCTTGCAACGGGTTCTTCTAAAGTTGGGGATGCTTCGGAACCGGTTGCTGCTGCAACCCCGTTCTGCCGTAAGTGCTGTGGCTCCCTCACTTGTGCCTGTAGGCTGAGAGGTTGAATCCAATGGAGCGGTCCCAACACACATCCGGAAAAAGATCGAAGCTGTCCGAGAGTGCATGCATCACACATGTTCGGGAGTTCATGCTGTCCTGCCTTTTGCGATTTGATTTTTCCCTACACCTTATGCCCTGCCACCCTAGAGCCGCTGCCTTTTGGTTCAAACGACGGGACAAACCGTTTGGGTTTCCCAAAAGGATTGTCTCGTAGTTTGAGCCGGGCGGGTGGGCCGGGGGAAAAGTTGTGTAAGAAAATGAAATGGAATTTTCTCGATTGCACTTCGCTTATTCCTTTGCTTGCATTCGGTTGCCAACGGCCTTGAGTTTGCACAGCTGGGAGTTCTGCCGAACGAATGATTCTCCTCCGTGGCCAATTCGGGTCCGAGACAATTTTGTGACCCACCCACGCCACCCTTGGTTCTTGCAAAGCAAATCTTAAAGGCTACAGTGTTTAACGTATCACTTATGTGCATGTGCACCTCTGGATGTGCAGATACGCGTGACATCCTGCAAGGGGGGATGCTTCGGAACCGGTTGCTGCTGCAACCCCGTTCTGCCGTAAGTGCTGTGGCTCCCTCACTTGTGCCTGTAGGCTGAGAGGTTGAATCCAATGGAGCGGTCCCAACACACATCCGGAAAAAGATCGAAGCTGTCCGAGAGTGCATGCATCACACATGTTCGGGAGTTCATGCTGTCCTGCCTTTTGCGATTTGATTTTTCCCTACACCTTATGCCCTGCCACCCTAGAGCCGCTGCCTTTTGGTTCAAACGACGGGACAAATCTCCTTTTTTGGGGACCAACGTGCGTTTGAGGCAGCTTGCCTACGAGGACGCACGAGTGGAGTATGCTATCCCGACATTGCTTGGGATACCTTTATCCCAGGGGAGCTGCTCCCTCTGTGGCACATTCTTCTCAGTTGGGATGTCAGTAAAGGCGCTCTTGGGCAGCTTGATGATGCCACCGAAAAATCGTTACTCCCATTAATAGCATTCTTACATGGTGCCGTCCTCCCGTTTCGACCCATTAAGCTTGTTGAGGTCCTTGCTGATGTTGAGCTCTTGCAGGGACTTCGATACATGCCTACACAAACTGACCGCCTCACTATTGCTAGTATTGCCGGCAATGCCTTCATACCCAGCATTGTGGAGGAGTTCATTCCCTGCCACACAAATGTTGTCCTCCAGTACAATGGAGTCTGCTCCCTGGATTTTCTCGTGAAGGCTTACGCTGAGCTAGTCGAGTTTGTCGAACGCAGTGTAGCCACAGATGCTGCAGCTCGAAAGTTCACTGAAAAACAACTTTCCTTCATTCATCAAAGACAATCTCACGTTCGTGATATCCTCTTATCCTTTTGCCAACAGGTGATATGTTCACCGTCCTTTCTTTGTAATCGTGTTCCCACACTTTGTGAAAGTGGTCATGGTGCAAATGTGTTTGGGGCTTGCCTCATGGATTCACTCTTTGTTTTGAAAAGTAGTCGGATGCGCTCTTATTTTCATGGACTACTTTTCAAAGTTGTGACCTTTGCTGTTTTATGGAACAATGCTCCGCTGAAGGTCTTGGCTCTGTATGCGGAGCTCACATGTGAAAATTTTGAGGCCTCCATGCCCCCTTGACATTCTAGCAGGTCTCGGGCGCTAAACTCGGTGTTGGGGCTAGCCCGCCAACGCGTGCATGGGCAGCGAAGGTTCCTTGGAGCCAGAGCGTCACGGAGTGTCAAGTGCAGAATTGTACCAGCTGATCCGAAGGTTGCATCAGACAGTCCTTTGTCTTGAGAACAAAGTTGCAGGATTGTTTGCTGCGGACGCCAGTGACTCTGATAGTCATCTGTCCTTCATTGACATCAGTTGCATTTGGAACTTTCCGAACATTCTGCCCGTCCTCTGGGGCTTCCGTGACGCTCCACCCCGGGCACGCCTGCTGGAGCCGTCAGGTGACATATCCTTCGATCAGGTCCGTCCACAGGTGCACGCACTGCTGCTTGCTCAGGGCTTCCCCTGAGTCATGGATGCTGCAGACGGCCATGCGGCCATGGATCGTGCATTGGACTCAGATACTCCTCCGCCCGTAGGGTTTAGGATGGGGGACTGGTTCCGGGCTAGGATTAGGTCTGCTAGGGCACCCTATCAGCCTTCAGTGCATCATGCAATGACTGTCTTGAGCGCGGCTGCAACAGACCTGCCGCTTCCTTGGGAATCAGGTTCGTTATCTGCTGTGCTAGGGGCAGGGCGCTTCCTTCCTTCGCCACTTGTACCACTGGTTGCCGAACAAGTTGGTGACCGGCCACAGGTGCGGGAAACGGCTCAACGAGTTAGGGCGTCTAAGGAGCCGTGGAAGGCTTCAGTCGTGCACTCTCGGGCTTGGGCGGATGTCGAGGATGACAGGAGAACTTCGGTGCTTGAGATGTGGAAGCTCATTGTACTGACTTCAGGTCGGGGTACCAAAGTCGGACGAGATCTTGTGACGATGCAAAGCGAGGGCTCCCCTGCTGCCTTGGTCGATCAGTGCCTCCGGGATGTGTTTTCGGCTAAGTCAACTTCGACCCTCAGGTCGAGGGCATCCAGCCTGGCTCAATTTTCCAGGTGGCGGGCATCAGTCGGGATGGACCCTGTCGCTTGCCCGACACCGGTTGTTGCCTGTGGCTTGTGTCACTCCAGGTCTTGCCGAAGGAAACTGGGCTGAGGCTTGGTTAGCTCGCAGGCGAAGGCTCAACCTTGTTGCATCCCGCGGCACCCCGATGATGCCGAGACCATTGTGCCAAGGGGGGTTTGATGTATCGCCTCTCGACCCCTCGCTAGGGGCCCTCTGGCTTAGGGAAATCCTGAAGGAGTGTGCCCCTTGCGGCGATTCGTTTCCTTGGGGTGAGGTTGCCACGCACAGCCTTAAGGCTACCCTTCTGAGCTTCATGGCAAAGGCAGCTGCGCCCGAGAACTTCAGGTCCATTGCGAGATATCACCTCAGGTCGGCGAACTCTTCCACTCTTGAGTACTCTCGGGATTCGATGGCGCCGTCTTTGCATTTTCTTGAGGGCATCTTCATTGCTATCGAGGGTGGCATTTTCTCCCCGGATTCAACTAGGGCCGGACGTTGGACAGGGGGCATTCGATCCATTGAGGAGGCGCTTCGATTCCTGTCTGGGGTTCAGCCGAGTCCCCCCGACGATCGTCCAAACCCGGTGGACGTGCCGGATAATGACCCAGGAGACCAGTCGGAGCCTGAGTCCGCTGCTGAAAGTATCGGAACGGAGGGCGAGGCTGATGAAGCTGTTGTATCCGCTTATTTCTTGGGTGAGGAGTTGAGCGTCTCGGCTGAGGCCCGAAATTTTGTCAAGTGTTTCAGGCATCGTATGAGTGGGGTTGTCCATGCGGCTCGGGATGGCCAGCCTGCTGATGAGGGCGAGATGACCGTCTTCAGATGTGGACGTTTTGCGAACCGTAATTATGAGGAGCTCGATGAAACTCCGGCAATAATCTTGCAGAAGTGCTCTTCGTGCTGGGGGGCAGGCGACTCTGGCCGCTGAGGTGGAAAATCGAAATGGGCCGCGTTCTGCAGTTTTCTGAGGCCATCACTGAAGCAGCGTCTGCATGGGTCTAGCTATCTTTCTCATGTTCGATGTCGCTGATCTACATGTCATGTGAGGATGCTCACGGTGACAGTTCATGACACATGGCTTTATGTGATGCAGTTTTCCGCTCCTGAGCGCATCCAGGTGTCCATGCACGGTGAACATGTTACTGTGTAGGCGCTTTGCTTGACATGTCACGTAGTTCTGTCTTTTCGTCTAGGTACACAAGTGAGAGTTTCAGTAGATTGCGTTCGAGGGAGTCGACATGTCCGCCATCGATAGCGAGGCTGTGTTCTTGTCGAAGTGCACTCAGCTGGGACTGCCCGAGGATGCTCGAGGCAAGCTCAAACGAAAGGGCTGGGCTACTTTCGGCACTTTTGCATTCTGTGTGCCGGGGGAGCCCCGATGATGTCTTCAAAACCTCCGTCGTGCAGCCCATCCTCGGTGATGGGGGTGAGGAGCATCAGGCGAAACTTAGGCGGCTCCACTTTGAGGCATATGCTTTGACAGCTGCTGAGCTGAAGCGGACGGCCGAGTCCACGGAGTCTGACCAACCGCGTAAGGTCCCGACGGCAGAGCTCGCTGCGCGCTATGATGTGTTGCAAAGGCGCGTAAAGCCTCTCCGCCTTGTTGACCGCTTGGAGCCTTCGCATTCACTTGTGAACCTGTCTGCCCAAATGCTTGAGGATCAGAGGGTGCGCTACATCGAGTGGTCGAAGTGTACTAGCCGTGCCCAGGAAATAAATCTTGTGAAGGAGGACGCTAGCTTGAAGCTGCTTCAGGGTGGCCGCTCCGGATCCGTCAAGCTTGTGGACCCCGGGTCCAAAATCACTGCTGACACTAAGTCTGACCTTGAGGTGATGCAGGCCTTGCGTCGCAGAGGTGTGGCATACGAACTTGCAGCCATCATGTCGTTTGAGAAACACGAGGAATTGATTGACCGACTCTTTATGGAATACCAATGGGAGCCTATGCCTGGTTTCCATCCGATCTCCTTCGCTCAGCTCCAGGCCGCGGACAGGGAGGTGCATGTTCGTATGGGCGAGCTCACGCGGGCCGGGCTTGTGTCGGGGGCGGATGGCTCCTTGCCGCTTGATGGCCCGGTGTCTCAGGTGTTGGCTGGTTCCCACATCCAGTGGATGCTGATGCCCCGTCAGAAGGGGTCCGGTCCCTTGGGCAGCTCCGGCGCTGGTGAGGCTAATGAGAAGCCCGACAAGCCACCGCGCAAGCCGCCTAAAAAGACTGATCCGTCGAAGGCGACGGATAAGGATCAGGGCGCCGATAAGAATCAGAAGGCTGATTCCGGTGCATCGCCGAATGCGGCTGAGCGACCTGGCAAGCAACGGAAAACTCGCTTCGTCATGCCAAAGGCGCTCATCGGTGGGGTTCCTAAGGATGGGGCCGGACGTAACATCTGCTTCGATCATAACCTTGGGAAATGTCCCAATGCTGCGGGGGCCTGCCCAAAGGGGGCGCATGTGTGCTGCTTCCCGGCATGCTTTGATGCCTCTCATGTTTTCTCCTACCACAAGTCATCGTGACTAGGGCCCGTTCGCTCTAGTGCAGGTCAGGTGCAGAGTGCAACCAATGTGCATGACACGGCCAACAGCCATTTGGGCAATGATCGTGATACGAATGCGGAAATTTTTGCTGCCACCTTGATCGGCAGAGTCGATGCGGGGGGCATTCGTCGTCTTTTGGAGCTGCTTCCCTCGGAGGCGCCATCGCGCGGTTCGCGTGAGGTGGGCCGTGGGTCCGAATTTTCTTTCACCACAGGTGCTTACACTTATGATCATGGCAAGCGGCATGGTCTTCGCCAACATTGCCGCGACTTTCCGATGTCCACTAAGGTTCTGAATGAGTTTATGCGCTCTCAAGCGCCAGGCGCCAGCTACACAACACTGGCCTTGTTTCGCGATCTTGAGACCAGGGTCCACTCAGATCACGGAAATGATCCTGGCCTGATGAATACCATCCTGAAGGTTTCTGACTTTAGCAGCGGCGGCCTCTGGGTCGAGACGGCCGGCGGTGAGGTCCCGTGCCCGCTTCCGCATCACAACCAAAGACTGGGTAAGGTTATCGAGTTTGTCGATGGTGCATTGAGCTTCGATGCCCAGCAGCCGCACTGCGTTATGCCGTGGTCTCGCGGGCCCCGCGTGGTTCTTGTGGCATTTACTGTACGGAATTGGGCAAACTTGCGTCGTGCAGACTTGACCGAGTTGTCACAACTGGGTTTTCGGTTGCCTAGCTTGGAAACTGACGCAACGGCCGGTCCCGCGTCTGCCTCTAAGGGTCTCCCTAGTCCTGAGGTTTTCCCTTTTCCGCCACCGGCACCGTTTTCTGCGGTGGCCGGCCCGCCTGTCACCTTGTCTCCTCCTGCAGCAGTCTCCTTGACTGTGCCTGCGGCCGCGGATCATCCCGATTTAGGCGAATCGACCGTGGTACGTGATGGGACTGCAGTTGCGCAACCTTCCTTCATTGAGCTGTTCTGTGGTTCCGCTGGCCTTTCGGCCGAAGTGCGCAAACTTGGGTTTCGCGTGTTGGGGGCGGATCACAAGCCCACCGCAAAGCACGCAAATGCACCTTTTGTCAGCTTGGACTTGCGCGACCCTGAGCAGCAGGATCGCATCTGGGTCGAGTTGCGCCGAGCTCAGGCAGTGTGGATTGCTCCTCCGTGTGGAACTGCTTCAGTTGAGCATCTGGGGCTCAAATTTGTTTGTAGGTGAGTGGGTGTGTGGTGCTGTGGAACGAGGCTCTGGGCCCTAAGAGGTTCCGAACAGGTCTCCCTCGACGTTTTGTAGCTTTCGCGCCATAGGCCAGGACTTGCATTCTGCGTTGGTGAGCCTGTGCCTTTCACTTTTCGAAAGCTGCGACTGTGACCTGTGGATGCAAGGGAGGAATCACTGCTACGAGGATTTTTGCGGGTCGCCTGAACCTGCCGCCTCCTCGGATCGTGGTCCTTCAGCTTCTTCTGTCGTGTCAGGGCATATTCCGGAACAGGGGACGTCTACGAATCCTGCACAGGACTTCTGGCCGCGGCCTGGATCTCGGTTTTCTCAGCAGCAGACTGGTTATTCACATCTGGCTCAGTCATCTGGATTTCCGTTGTGCTCTCAGCTGGAACAGGGTCCTTTGCCTTCTTCGTCTACAGGACAGGGTGCAGGCGTAGTGCAGACAGCTCCGTGTTCGTCACAGTCGCTTGGTCTTCCGTTGCGCTCTCAGCTGGAACAGGGTCCTTCATTGCCGGGCAGTCAGGTATTGCCATTGACAGATCACAGGGCACAGGGCATACAGCAGAGCATCTTGCACGTGGATCAGTCGTCTGAACCTCTACTGTGCTCTTCGCAGGAACAGGGTCCTACATTGCCTCCCAGGGAGCAAAGTGCACGGGTGTACAATTCAAATTTGGACCAGTCGTCTGGATTTCCTTTGTGCTCTCAGCCGGAACAGGGTCCTTCGTTATTCTCCGCGGGCCAGGAACTGACCTACGAAGACTATTGTGATCAGGTCGTATTGCAGGGTTCTTACAGTCAGACACAGCCATCAGGCCTTCCTTTGTACACGCAGCGGGAGCAGGGTCAGCTGGCGATTTCTGGACACGATTTACCCACAGGGCGCTTGGAGTGGACAACGGAGCAGTATCTTCTGGCTATTCGGCGTGCGGGGGCATTGGCATATTTGAGGCATCTCCTGGAACAGGGTTGGCCAGCACAGGACGCCAAGACCTATATTTTGTTGGCTTTTCGTGGTCGGGTTAACGCAGTTCTACCTGGAGCGCTGATTGCCAACTTGCTTCGATTGCTTCCAGCGCAGTCACAAGAGTATTTCCATCAGGAACTTCTGCACGTGCACCACAAGCACCACAACTCTCAGGTTTTGGCCGCCTTTCTGCAGCAGCGCGCTGCCGGGCGGCCTTTCTCTTCTACACCTCACCAATAGGTCGAGATGGCTCTCGACCAGCAGTGCCCCCCCGGGTCCCAAGTCCCGGGTCCGTGGAGTCCCATGCACTTGAATCGTCCGTTGTGCACTCAGACTGATATTGATCGAGCAGGGCACACCGATTGTCGCCTTCAGGATGTCTTTGAGTACATTTCACAACATGACGGTACTCCTGATTTGTTGGATTGCTTCCCTTGGGAACAATGTGTCGATCAGGTGCTTTATGACTCGACTTTATTTCAACACTTCTCCACGGAAGATGCGAGGGTTGCAGGGATTATTGGCGGCCCTGCTGAAGCTCACGGACATGTTCCACAACAGGACACCACGGGAGCGAAGCTAGCCAATGGGCACAGGAAATGGAAGGAATCTCACTTCAACTCAGTCAAGAGGGCGCTTCAGCGCGCACGAAAGCGCGCTCAGGCCAATGGACAAACGACCTATCGAGGCAAGCTCGTCACCAATGCCGATATTGGGATGCCTGGACAGTCCTATTCCACTCAGGATCACTGTCCGAAGCAGCCGGCAAGCGCCAGGCTCGGGACCTGGGGTTCATGGAACGCATTCTTGCACCTTGGCCCCCACGCACAGGCCCACTGCTTGAGTCTTTTGTTCAGCCGCTCCGCAAGGGTCAACTATCGGTATCAACTTTGAATTTGGGTGGTTTCTCGAAGGCAGGCTTCGATGAGTTTCAGACTTGGTTGCACTCTGACAATGTGGTATCTCATGTCCACATCATCTGCCTGCAAGAAACATGGAGACCGTCCTCAGAATTCACTAGTTCGGCGTGGCACTGGGTGCAGTCTGGTCTCCTGAAATCACAGCATCAGGGAGTTGCGGTGCTCATCAACAAGAGTCTCGCATCGGCCGGCTGCATCCGTTTTGCTGAGGTTATCAAGGGTCGTTTGTTGAAGGTCCAGCTTGCTGCTGACGCTACTCACCACCTACGGCGCAAACCCATCACCATCTTCAGCATCTACCAGCATGCCAAGGTTTCCGAACAGGCTGCTGTCTACGAGAAACGTGAACGCTTATGGGAACACATCAACAAGGCCTTTGCCTCCGTTCCAGGCAGACACCTGTTCATCGCGGGTGGTGATTTTAATACCCCGCTTTCGTCGTCGGAGTCTCATGTTGGTGCGGGCACAGTGAAGTCAACGGTCGTCCCTCGCGACTCGGACCGGTTCGCTTCACTTTTGGTTGATCATGGCCTAACCGCGCTGAACACCTGGAGGTCTCCGCAGGCTACGTACCTTGATGACAGTGGTGGCACTCAGAGCACCAAAGGCACGCAGATTGATTTCTTGTTGGCACGTACACGTCAGGCGGGTCGAACCGGACGGGCTGCTCAGGCGCTTCCGCATATACATCTGGCCTCCTGGCGCAATGGTGCCCGACATGTTCCCGTGGCGGCGCTCTTCACAGACACCCGTGCAGAATGTAAGCGCGGTCCGCAGGCTGAACGGCTTCATCTGTCTAGGGATCACATGGTTGAGTGTCTCAGACACTCTGACGAACACCGTGATCGGTTCTGCGCTGAAGTACAATGCCGGCTGAACAGGACGTGTTCCACTGAATCTCGGGACTATCTTCCACCATGCAAAGTTGATGCCATTCTGCGAGATGTATCTCACGAGCTCTTTGCTAAGAAACGGGTGGATTATGTCAAGCCTTGGCAATCTTCCGAAGTTCAACTCTCTCTCAAGGGTATTTGGACTCAACGGGCACAGTTGCGGCAACAGCAGCGATCAGCGAGGGCCTGTGTCGTTTTATTGCATCTTCTACCTCCCGCCTCGGACGGGGCACTTATGCCCGTCTCCTCTTCCGGTTCAATTGCGGACCACTGCCTCCGTGGGATCTTCGGTCTATGGCGTGCTGCTACCCATTCTTTCCACAAGCAAGTTCGAGCATTGCAGCGCACCAGTGTGCAACAGCGGAGGGCGCGATGGGATAGTCAGTTGGCTGAGGCAGAATCGGCTCTCAAATCAGGGGCCACGCATCACTTCTATGCCACTGTTAAGCGACTTGCTCCACGTCAACAGCCCGGGCGAGTTCAGTTGCGTACGCAAGAGGGTGATCTCATGACCATTGAGGATGAGATTCAGGCTCTGTATGAGTACTGGCAACCTGTCTTTGATCATCCTACCCTTTCACCGGGGAAATGGGAGCTTGTCGATGGCATTGAGGTCTCCGAGCAGGAAGTCGAACGGGCTTTGCTGAAGATACCACCCCGCAAGGCGACTCAACCGGGGATGGCACCCGGTGCTGCTTGGCACTTCGCTGCGCCTATTATTGCTCCGCATGTTCATGCATTCTTGCAGGATACGTGGAAACCAGGGCCCATTTCACATTCGGCAGATCTCACAGGCTCGTGGCTTCATTTCCTTGCCAAACCTGGCCGGGTTATTCGTGGTCCATCCGATTTGAGGCCCATCGCGCTACAGCCTGGGGCAGCCAAGGCACTCAGCGTGCTCATCAAAACCCGTCTTCAACCGTTTGTCGATGCGGCGGCCAGGGACTTTCCTCAGTTTGCCTACTTGTGCAATCGGGGTACTGCGCAGGCCATCGGCAGGGTCACACAACACTGTTCGGCTGTGCGGGCTGCGGTCAAAGGCCAATCTCTCACTTTACATGACAAGTTCGCGGGTGTGCGCCGATTGCCATGCTCTGGAGGTTGCCAGTTGGCAGTCGACATGTCCCGAGCTTTTGATTCTTGCCCCCGCAAGCTTCTCCTGGCAGCCCTTTGGCACTTCCAGGTGCCCTCGGATCTCATCGCTCTTATCATGGCGTGGCATGAGAGCAGTCACTATGAACTGGGCAATATGCATCGTTCGGACCTCAGCCGCGACATCTCCTGTACCAGCGGCGTGAAGCAGGGGTGTGTCATTGCACCCAGTTTGTGGACTTTGTTCACTTGCTACGTAGGATCCAAGTTCAGTGAGCATAGGGATGCAAAGTGGATTGATGATCACTTGACTCTTTTTGCAGACGACTTTCACTTCAAGTGGCAGCTGGATTCACAGAAGGACTGTCGACGTGTGCTTGAGGACTTGCGTCTGATCTTTGAGGTACTACAGGAACATGGTCTCACGATCAACCCGGCCAAGTCCTCCTTCCTTGTGGAGGTACGCGGACCTGATGGGGATGCATGGCTTCGCAAACATCGGATGCGTGATGCAGAGGGCAATTGGCAGTTTGTTTGGGACCTGCACCGTCGCTTGAAGGTACCAGTCGTGCGATCCTTTCGGTATTTGGGCGTCATGCTCTCATATCACGCCTTTGAAGATGAGACTTTGCACTTTCGCTTGCAACAGGCCCAGCAACATCGCAATCGATTGGCTCGCACTCTGCAAGGCCGCGGTGGGCTACGGCTTGAACAGCGTAGACGCATTTGGCTGGTATGTGTTCAGACCTCTCAACTTTATGGCCTCAGTGCGGTAGGTATCACTGACGCGGGCTACAATCTGTTGCGCATCCAGACGATGAAGCATGTTCGAGCCTTTGCCAAATCTCCGCGGCACCTTACCCAGGAATCTGATCGCTCTCTTTTGGACAGGCTTGGACTCTGTGCTCCGTTGCAGACTTTGATGCAGCAGGTGGATGGGATTTATCACCGTTTGGAGCAGCCTGAATTCAGCACGCTTCCATGTTATGACAATGCAGGTCTGCTGGGATGGTTCCGGGGTATACGAGACGACATGCGGCTGCTTGCGGCCAAGACTCTGGGAGACAGCGTTACATCGGAACCCTCGCTGGAAGCCGGTGTGCAGGATGTGCCGACTGGGGTGGTGTCCGACCCGCCGGTCCTGCCAGCGACTGAGGGTACTACGAGTTACTACGACGGTCCCGGCCAAGCTTGTTTCCATGCCACCTCAAACTCCTCAATATACCTGCACTGTTTGCGGCCAGCAGTTCACAACATTGCATCAGGTCAAGACTCACGAGGAACGTGCGCACAAAAAGTTCGCTCCCAAGCGGGTCGTTGCTGACATTGTCTCCTATTCTTTGAACGGTCTTCCTACTTGCAAGCTTTGTCGAGCATCTTTTACGCGCTGGACTGGTCTTCGCAGACACATTGAGGAAAATCGTTGTCCTGGTCTTCGGGAGGAACCGGTGCCTGCGTTGCCATTGTATGATGCCGCCGATGCTTCCGGCTCTCGGCCGTCCCAGGTGACTGCCACAGCTCTGGACTTGGCCGATGCTGCACAGCCGACTGCTGAAGGTTCGTTGATGGCACCGGGTCCTGTTGCAGCCTCTACTTCTTCGGGTCCTCCGGACTTGGGTCCTGCTCAGGTCATGGAGTCTAAGCTCAACGATGCCAAGCCCTCCTCTGAGGGCGCTGCTTGTAGTTCATGGAAGCAGGATGATCTTGAACCGCTCCGACTTGTCGGTAGCGCTTTCTAAGTAGACAAAACTGTAGGCTCGCGTAGCGAGCCGGGGCGACTCTGATAACGTGTACAGTCTTGCTGTTTGTTATCGTCTCACCCCAAACAAACTTTTCTTTTACATGCTGATTTTCACGGTGAGTCTTTCGTGAATGATTTTTGGCGTTTTTCGGCATGCGGGATCCACCATGTGGCTTGATCTCATTCAGCATGACCGCGCTCGCCCTCTCAAGCAACTGACGGGCGGGGCCCATCATTCATGAAATTTTTGCAGCAACTGACGGGCGGGGCCCATCATTCATGAAATTTTTGCACACAGGGGGGCCCAGCCATGGCCGGCCGTATTGACCTCTGTGGTCTCTTTCGCCGCTCTGAGCTCGATGCTGTGCGCATAATCTGGGCTTGCATTTCAAGTGATGCTCGCCGCTGCCTCATAGACACCTGCTGGTCTGTTCGTGCAGCGTGCTTCTGCGCTCAGCCTTGACCGACGATGAGCGACCCCGCTCGTGAGGTTGATGAACTTTTGGGCTCCATTGACCTTACAGATACCGGGGGGATTGGGGATCATGAAGCCCGATCTGCAGTCAGTTTTGACCTTGACATACCTGTTGCAGCATGCTCCGACCAAGACATTCCGGACAGCCAGCTGTTGTCCGTGCTTGAGGATGATGAAGTGTGGGACGGCCCTGCTCCCAGTGCCCCGGACCCTTCGTGTGCTGCTGAGATTTCAGACTCGGAGAGGGAGTGGTACTTGCTTGCGGGATCGTTCGGGGCTGCCGGCGCTGTGAGCGCGCCCTGTGAGCCTTCACCACCGAGCTTGGAGCCTGAGCACCCTCCGGTGGTCCCGCTCTTGGACAGCACCGCCGAGGACCAGCTGCAGCAGAGTGCAGTGGGACATATCCATAAGAGACTCCGCATGGAAGCCCCACTCCTACCGTGGGAAAGGCAACCGTTTGCTGCAATCTTTCGGGGCCCATCTTGGCACGACACATTGCAACGCCAGATCAGCATGGATCTAATGCCTGGGGTGGGTAGTGCCGACGTCCTTAAGCCAGCCCTGCCTAAGGCTCCTGCCCCTAAGCCCCAGATTGTAGCAGCGTCTTTGGCGAACCGCCTTCATCGCTTCAGGCCGGAAGCCTCCGACGAGGACGTTCGCAATCTTGCTTTGGCCAAACTCAAGGTATTGATTACTAGTGACCCCCTTGCCAGTGAGGTGAGTAAATCCTTGATTGATAAGCTTGGAGGTCTTGTCCAAGAGGCTGTGGTAGCGCAGTCCTTCGCAGATACTTTCCGTGCCAAGGCGTCGTCCACGCTCAATGGGCATGCGTGTGCTCTCGCAAGGTTCAGTGCGTGGTGTGCTCGCCAGTCTGCAGAGCCTCTGCGGGCTGACGAAGAGCATCTATATGCGTACTTGTGTGAGATGAGGTCCTCCAACCGGGGGGCCACATCGGGAAACAAGTTTCTGCAGTCGCTGACTTTCTTGGAGTATTCCGTCGTGTTACTCTTCATGTCGGTCGATGTGGTCGTTTCTGCGAGGGTTCGGGGCGTCGCTCGAGACATTGACATGGCCCTAACCAAGGCGCCGCTGTCTCAGAGGCCCGCGCTCACGGTGGAGCAAGTCGCAGCGCTGGAGGCGCTCATTGTCAACGACCTGAACGACACTGACGCCTGTGTGCTGGGCCAAATACTTTTCGCCGTTCACTCAGCTGGCAGGTGGAGGGATATCCAGGGATTGCAGTCGGTGGAGGTCTCAGCAGGTTCCGAGACCACCTTGTTGCTGGCAAACGGTCTGAAGAGCAAGACCACCCATACGGCTGAGGCGCAAAGGAGGCTTCTGCCGTACGTTGCGATATCTACTGGTGTCTCAGGTTACGACTGGGGTGACCGCTGGCTCACTGCTCGCAGGAACGAGGGCCTTCAGTGGGGAGGCGACTTCTGCCTCCCCTCGTTCTCCTTGAGACTTGGGCAATGGAGCACGGCCCGCATATGGGCTCCGGTGAGGCATCTGCGTACCTTCGGGGGCTTCCTTGAGGCTGTTGGCCTGCCGAACAACAGGGTTTGGGCGAGCCGCTCAGTCAGGATCGACTTCAGTGAGCCCGAAAGGCTACACCTAGGCCACCACTCCGCCCCGGGCACCCGATCTATGCTCGTATACAGCAGAGAGGCTTACTCCAAGCTTTATGCCAAGGTCTTAGCGATGTTCAAAACGATTGAGGATGGATCTTTCAATCCGGACCTGCCTCCGGCGCGTCGGGTCGAACACCTTGCTGAGGCAATCATGGTTGGGAGCTCGCAGGCGTCCAACCTGGGACCGCAAGCCCCAGCCGGGGAGGACAGTGCCTCTTCGGACGATTCCGATGCAGGGATCCTAGAGGGCCACGGCGAGCGTCACGCACCAGACTTAGTGCGGGGGGCGTTCCCGGATCGTTTCCTCCAGGACATCGTAGTGCACAGGTTTTCCGGCATATCGCATGTTGTCAAGGACTCCGGCATGCTTTGGTGCCACATGCCGGTAAGTTCGAACTACACCCCGCTGGCCGAAGCCGGCGTTGCTGCTGAGTTCCCAACTGTGTGTCATCAGTGCTCTAGAGCTTTAGGCCTGGTAGATGACTAGTTCTATGAATCCGTTGAGGCGGTACGGCAAAAAGAACTGCTGGTCTCAAGTCTGTCATGCTCTCTTCGACTCTTGTGTGAGTGCGTGGGCGTAGTCTTCCTGAAGGGGGACGACCCAATCGATGCACCATCTTAGGAGCCGGGATAGCGAGCGTTGGCATGTCACTTGCCGCTCGCTGACCGTAGGCTCAGGGGTCACGAGTCAATCTGAAGAGGTAGCGACAGTCATGGAGGATTTCATGTTACACGAGACGCTGAAGTAGGATGCTGGCAAACACCCACAACATGCTACTGTCTGCTACATTTAGCATCCTGCGCTGATCATGGCTTCAGGTCTCGACTCCTCTGCTTACTTCCTCGAGCGGCTCGCCAAGGTTGGTTTGTCGAACGAGTTGAGAGATGCACTGGCCCGAGCCGGGTACACGACGTTTGGGTCCCTTGCCTTTGCTGTGTCCTCGACCCCGGGCGCGGCAAGCGATGAGGCTGTCTCCAGGTGGGCATTGCACCTTGCAGATCCGCTGCCGAGTGAGCACCAAATGTCAGTGCTGCGCCGTTTGCTTTTCGAAGCGCAATCCATGTCGATTGCTGAAATGCGTGATCGGGTCAACCTGGCCCCAGGCGAGGCCCCCACTCGTAAGTTGCCAATGATCGAGCGGGCTGAGACGCTGAAGGCTCTGCGTCGTAAGCTGCCTGGGCTCATCTTGACCCCCGACACTCTTCCGGCCAACCGTCTGGTAGATAACTTTGTTGATCAGCTTGATTCGGGTGTGCTTACTTACGTGAAGCCGGATGCATGCATCAGCCGAGCACAGGAGATGGACTCCAATAAGAGGGATCCGACCTTGCAGGTACAGGGAAACGAGTTGAAGCTCGCTGCTAAGCAGGTTGAGCTGAAGTGCTCTATCAGCACTGACATGCAGCTGAGGCAAGCTTGGACCCGGAGGTCTCTCGCCATGGAACTTGCTCAGCTTGCCTCGTTCACTGTGTTGGAGACCTGGGTTCAAAGCTTGTTCTCAAGAATGCAGCGGGAGCCTCCAACGGGGTATCACTCAGTCTCTCTCGCAGATCATGGCCGCCGATCGGGAGCTCTTTCAGCTGCTGTCGCACAACCTTATGGGCCAGATTCAAGCGTCGGCCGGAGCTGTTCGTCCCCTCGATCTTGAAATCGAAAGCCTAAGCAAAAGCACCGACGTGCTAGTGCACCTGCTACCGCTCGTGAAGCCTCCTCCGATGCCTCACCCGACGAAGCGGCCCCGATCCCGATCCAAGGCTCCCGCATAAGCCGACTCCCAAGGGGAAAGGAAAGGGTAAGACCGCAGATCCGAACCAAGAGGATGGGAAGGCCCCTAAGTACACCTTGCCCGATGGGTGTGTTCCCAAGAGCGAGGACGGCAAACCTTGGTGCTTTCTGTGGAATCAGGGCCGATGCAAGTTCAAGAATCCTAAGAAGGGCCGATGTCCTCGGGGCTATCATGGGTGCTATTACCGGGGGTGTGGCAGGCCAGTGTCGTTCATAGAGTGCACTCACACTGATCCCGCCTGAAAGGCGGGGGCCCCCGCGGGTCCTGAGCCTGAGACCTTGCCCGAGGGGGCCGCGTCTCCCAATCCGATTTCTCCAGGGGACCTCAGTGGCCCCGAACCACAGGATGCTGAGAGCTATGCGCTGAACCTCCTGGCGAAGGCCGAGGTCTCTGCATCTTCCGTGGCTCAATTGTCATTCCTTTTGCCTTGCGATTCCAGTGTTCGGCCGTCGAGCGGCCCCAACGCATTCCTTTTCAGCTGCGGTGCCTATGTCCATGGGGGAGTCACGGGTGCTTTTGCTAATACCCGAACCCTGCCTGCCTGCACCCAGCTCCTTGCACGTTTTGCCAAGCAGTTCATCGGGGACTCTTTTCCATTCACATCACTTGTGCTTCTTCGGGACAACCTCACCCACATGCATCGTGATCGCAATAACACCGGCCTCAGCGCACTGATCCGATGTTCAGATTTTGAGGGTGGAGGTCTTTGGGTCGCCGACCCCAAGGGCTCGTCGTCCATGCAGTTCGAAGGCAAGGTGCATCAGGGTACCACTCGCGAGCTTGAGCGCTGCCTGCACTTTGATCCATGCAAGCTGCACTGCACGTTGCCCTGGTCCAAAGGCCCTCGGATCGTCCTCGCGGCCTATTCGATTCGAGATGCGTGTAAACTCCCGAAAGCCGACGCTGACTTGCTGCTCAAACTTGGTTTCGTTCGGGCATCGAGTGAATCTGACACCAAGTCCTCCCCAGCCCAGGTTTCCCTTAGTGGTTTAGGCCCTGCCTGCCGACCTTCTACGGGTGTTGATGCGCCTGCCGCCACCAGCCTTGGTGAGCTACATCAACCTTCCCAGCGACCCTTGTTCATCGAACTTTTTGCTGGCTCCGCGGGGCTGTCTCGGGCCATGCTTGACCTTGGGTTTGAGGTCGTTACCTTTGATCATTATGTCAATCACCCTAAGGCCCCAGTTTGCAAGCTTGACCTGGCCGCTGCTTCTGGTCAGTCGGTTGTCTGGGATGTGCTTCAGGCCCGAAAACCCTTTGCCGTGCATCTCGCGCCTCCGATTCTTGCTGACCATGAGGCTCTTGCACGATTCTGTTGTGACATAATCGGCTGGTGCATCCAACGGGACGTCGTAGTGTCCCTTGAGCAGCCTGACCGGAGTGAAAGTTGGGCCCTGCTCACGTCGTTGGCCCGTTCGCGTGTGTCTGCCGAGGGCCTATCCAAATGGGCTGGACTCCACAAAATCGTGTTTCCCCTCTGTATGCACGGGGGGTCGAGTCGGGCCCTGACCCGTCTCCTTTGCACGGCCCGAGTTTTCGACGCTTTGGCCGTCGCCTGCGACGGCAAGCATTGGCATGGTCCGCGCCCCGGACCCTGGGCCGCCCCTGCAGCCTACCCTCCGGTCGTTTGCCAGCGCCTCGCCGGTTGCCTGCTCCAATGTGCCAAGGCTCGGAATGCTACCCCCGGGCCGCTTTCCAGAGTTAAGGAGGCTTCAACTAAAGCGCCATGCCCCTTTAGTGCCTGAGTACCGCAGTTTTAGGGTAGTCCCGTCGGGTTCTACGCTTCAGTCCTGTGAGCGCATCCTCTCTGCCAAATGCGAGGGGGGATCAACCGAGGATGGACCCGACGTTTCGGGAAAGCAGTGGAAACTGGGGATATTGCACTCTCCCTCAGAGTTTCTGAGTAAAGCCTTAAGCTGCCCTCACCCCCTTGATGCTGCTAGACCGCTGTCCAAACACTTTCTGGATGCCCTCGAAGCTGTGATGACGACACCCCCTAAGGTCTTAGAGCTCAAAAGGAAGTTGGCGATTGCTAAGGCTGAAATTCTGGTCAAGAAGCTCAGCTGCTCTGAGAAGGCCAGGCACCAGGCCCTGCCGGATCATATGAAGAAAGTGCTCGCAAGCAAGAACCTTTCGCTCTTCGAGGCACTCCTCAAGGAGCATGCGTACTGGGATATGGGGGTAGTCCAGCTCATGGAAAAGGGTGTTGACCTCGTTGGGTTTCAGGACACCCCTCCTTGCTATCCGCAAAAGATTGTTCCTGCTACCATGTCCAGGGACGAGTTCCTTGACTCTGCTGACTGGAGGCGGCGGGCTCTCACAACACCCGGCACCAGGGCTCCGGATGCAGCTCAGCTTGCCCACCTTGAGCAGGCGTGCCAGGAAGAGGTAGACCTGGGATTCATGCTAGGACCCTACTCGGAGGATCAAGTGTCCCAGCTGTTCGGCCACACCTGTTGGTCATGCATCCGGAGGTTTGTCTTGGAGCAAAAACCAGGGAAGCTTCGGCCCATTGATGATGCAAAGGAAGCGCTTGTGAACAGTGCCAGCACCTCGACGATGCGACTCGAACTTGAGGACGCCGACTACCTGTCTGCCATGGCCCTCGAGGTCGCGCGACGCATCCTGGCCGACCCTTCCAAACCAGGGGCTGTGCCATGGGTCGCCAGGTGCCTCGACCTGACGAAGGTCTACAAACAGATGTGTGTTTCCGAGCGCGACCTGCAGGTCTCGGTGGTCTTCTTCCTTGATGAACGAGGTAAGCCGAGGTACTACGTAAGCCATTCGCTGTTATTCGGGTGCACATCGTCGGTTTTTGCATTCAACAGGGTGTCAAAGGCAATCTCCTTTCTGTTAAACCAAATGTTGCTTGTACCAAGCTCCGTGTTCTACGACGACTTCCCTCTTCTGTCACCGAGCCCCACAAGTGACAGCGCCACGTGGGCCACAACCGCACTGCTTGACCTTCTGGGCTGGGGTCATGCCCGCGTGGGCAAAGACACTAAAGGAGTTCCCTTTGCGGCAAGCTTCGAGGTCCTTGGGATGTCGATGCAACTTGATGGTGTTCACAGGGGGCGCCTAACCCTTCAGAACAAAGCCGGACGCATTGAGCAGCTTGTGTCTTTGTTTCAGGGATTTCTTGACAGGGGTGCCATCACGGTGCATGAAGCGCAAGTTGCCCACGGGCTCTTGAACTTCTCTGCTGGTTATGTGAATGGTCGGGCCTTGCGCTTGACTTGCCAGGAACTCCTTCGCTTGACAAAAGCATCGTGCCCCGCTCCTCCGAAGGCGATCCGCAGCTTCTGCGTCAACAGCATTGAGGCCCTCCGGGCGCTAAGTCCCCGTGTGCTCAGTGTGTGGGACAGCCGGGCTCCCATACACATCTTCACGGATGGTGCGTGGGAGCGTGGCCGAGCGGGCATTGGTGCCGTCATCTTTGATACAGCTTCGGGCAAGTCGTGGACTTACGAGGGTCTAGTTCCTGAGCCGCTCATCCTCCGATGGGAGGCCGATGTCGGGACCCAGCTCATTTGCCAGATCGAGTTGTACGCTGTTGTATGCCTCAGATGGGCCCTGGCCTCCACCTTTGATCACAGACGCTTGATTTGGTGGATTGACAACGAATCGGCTCGCTATGGCTTGATCAACGGCATTTCGGACAGTCCCTCGATGTCATCCTTGATTCAGGCCTTTGCGCTAGCGGATTCTAAGGCACCTTCGTATAGCTGGTACGAAAGGGTCCCATCTTTTTCTAACATCGCGGATGGACCAAGCAGAGGCGATTCGGCAGAGGCCTTGACCGTCTGCACCGACAAGGTGGGAATCGATTACCCTCTTGACGAAAGCCTCATCCGGAGGCTCCTGTCAGCTTGATGCCCAGTATGGGAGCTCGCGTACTCGGGGCACCTAGCCAATCGTCGGGGGGATATTGTGCCCCGTAGATCTCGTAGGCCTTGTGCCGAGGTCGGGGCAAACCGGTATCGTTTCACGAATTCCCCCGATCGGCTTCGCAGCCAAAAAGTGTCCGAGCGAGAGCGATTGCATTTCACATGTCCGTTGGAACATATGCTGTGATCTGCGGAAATTTTTAATTTATATTACGATTGGAGTCGAAGCTTATCCGTTTCGAACATATCTTTGAGAGCAGTGCCTCCCATTTGAGATAATCAAGTTTGGTTTTTGAGTTGCCCCAGTTTTGTATAATTAGAAGAACCGCTCCGACTTGTCGGTAGCGCTTTCTAAGTAGACAAAACTGTAGGCTCGCGTAGCGAGCCGGGGCGACTCTGATAACGTGTACAGTCTTGCTGTTTGTTATCGTCTCACCCCAAACAAACTTTTCTTTTACATGCTGATTTTCACGGTGAGTCTTTCATGAATGATTTTTGGCGTTTTTCGGCATGCGGGATCCACCATGTGGCTTGATCTCATTCAGCATGACCGCGCTCGCCCTCTCAAGCAACTGACGGGCGGGGCCCATCATTCATGAAATTTTTGCACCCACCCACCCTCCCTTGGGGGGGATATTGTGCCCCGTAGATCTCGTAGGCCTTGTGCCGAGGTCGGGGCAAACCGGTATCGTTTCACGAATTCCCCCGATCGGCTTCGCAGCCAAAAAGTGTCCGAGCGAGAGCGATTGCATTTCACATGTCCGTTGGAACATATGCTGTGATCTGCGGAAATTTTTAATTTATATTACGATTGGAGTCGAAGCTTATCCGTTTCGAACATATCTTTGAGAGCAGTGCCTCCCATTTGAGATAATCAAGTTTGGTTTTTGAGTTGCCCCAGTTTTGTATAATTAGAAGTTTCGGCGAGCGTTCTTCGACCTGCCATCCAGTGGGACACCGTTTTGAGTATTAGGCCTCCACCTTGGGAAAGCATAGTCCGTGTGCCCGGCATCGTCTCCAATCTTCAATCCTACTGCATACTGCGGAGTCTGCGGGAAGTGGATAGCAGAGAAAAAGGGGATGAAGCGCCATTGGCAGAAGTCACACCCTGAGCTTTGGAACTTGCACTATCCGCTGGTGCTCCATTGGTGTAAACACTGGGCCAAGTCGGCCCAATCGCCTTGTCAGATCTGCGGGATCAAAGTAGTGGATCATCGTCAACATGCCGGAGGTGCGCAATGCACGGTCATGGTGCAAGCTGCCCTTTTGGAACTTTGTTTGCCAGGCGGACGCGGACGGCCAACTGCGCTCTCTTTTCGGCTTGATGCCGGCGCTACAGGCTCAACAGGCTCAGGAGGCCGGCAACAACATGGAAGTGCACAGAACATCCACCAAACGGAAGGATCCAGCAACGAACACAACACGCCAAGGCTCGCAGAAGGGCAAAGGCAAAGGGGGGCGCGGCAAGTACGGGAGGGGAGGCAATCCCTCCCACCAGAAGCCATCGGGGGATTCAGAAGACTCTTCGGACTTGCGCAGTCTGGTCCAGCACATGGGGCGGATGGTATTACAGCAAGCGGAAGCGACCAATCGCATTTGCTTGGACTCGGGGTTCCTGCTTGTGCTCCAGACACCGCCCCATCCAGGCAGTGTGACGCGGGCCCTATGCCAGGTGGGCGATGCTTGGAAGCTGAAGGCCAAAGAGGCTCCGACAACTCTAACAATGTCGCTGAAGATGGCGATACTCGAATGTCTCTTTCGGGAATTGGTTGCTCGGGCGAACATGCATCCATCATGCGTGCGTGAATGGGTTTTATTTTCCGCCGAAAGTGTAGACAAAGTTTGTCGAAAAAGGAAAACAGTGTTTTCACTTGTGTGTGAGTTACACTAGACAATCTTTGCCGTGCAGCTTTCGGCTTGAAGTTGGATCTGTGATCCAAAAGTTTTTATAGAGTAGCTTGTAGTGCTCCGCAGCAGTGGGGGTCGTCAGCGACGACCTTCCACTCCCTTTGATATAACTGTCAGTGCCAGTTATGGTTGACCAAGCAGCACGCATTTATGCGGCTGAGTCGCCAGAGGCGCCGTACCCTAGGAGGGACGGTCAGGAAAACAAGCTGGCAGCGCCACAATGCTTGCAACGCGTGCGACAGTGTCGCTCTTGTCTTCGGTTTTTGCAGTGCAATCCGATATTCGTGCTAGAGCAGGCCATGCGAGAAGAAATGGCCCAACAGGAGATAAGTTATCTCCTCTGGGCTCTCAGTTGTGCCATGCGGGTAGATCCCGCGGTCGTCAGCGACGACCACGAGGCCCTTAATATCATTAATCGAGCAGGGGAAGGGGAATCCAAAGTTTGGCCCCCCTTCTACCCTTTTGTGCAGATGCAGGGGGAACAACCGGACACTTCAGGCAGTGCCTATCCCATGCACCGGTATACTATGTCGCAGCGCGACGTGCCTATGCGGCCAGCGGCCACACCTGGCTGGCCGTATACCGCCCTTTTCGACTGGCCCCCAGTGGGGAAGAAGACAATGTACCCAAGCTCCAGTGGAGACTTAATTGGGTGGATGCCCTAGTAGGCGCTAGAGGGCCACGTGGCTGCTAAGGTTGAAGCCAGCGGCTTCCAGTGGCACCCAGAGGGTAAGGGCAAAGGCAAGGGTGGTTGGGTCAAGATTCTCCCTTCGGAGAAGAAAAAGAAGAAGACGCACAAGACTGCCAGCGGCAGTACTGACCCTACCGCCTCGTCCAGCACTGCTCTGCCGACAGCGTCGGCATCAGCCTCGGACCCTCCCTTGCCGCCGCCAGCGGCCGCCCCAGGTAAGCCTGTGTCTGCCACAACAAGCTGCCCGCCCTCCGCCGAACCTGCCGGCGTCGCACCGCCAGCGGCGGAGCCTGTCATTGAGGTCATTGACACTGACAGTAATCAGAACTCGGGAGACTCCGAGGTTTCTTTGGCTAGTAGCCAAGCCGCAACGGCAGTGCCGTTCGCGCCAAACGCAACACTGTGGTCGTGTCCAGACCACAGCGTCGCATGGCAGTTTCAGCCCGGCGAGGACCCCCAGAACAATGACTGGCGTAACCTCGGGTCAGCGACCGACAACAGGTACCCCGGCCTGCGTGCGCTAGTAGCGCACGCCAAGCGGGTCTCGCCGCACTGCACGTCACAGACGTGCACGAATGGCCCTACTGGGCAACCCCAGACTCAGAGAGATGGGAGAAATACCCAGAGAGGCGCGGCGACCTCATGTGTTGCATGCCCTGCGCGCAGCAGGGCTGCATTTCTCAGGGCATGGCGATTTGTGGACGGCACTGCTCAGCTCAGTGGGCAGGAGCCCCCACAATCATCATGAATGCGAAAACTGCTATCGCGGGGGCCGGGGTCAGCGACCCAGAAATCGCGGCGTCAGGGGCGGCCGCCGTTAGATGCTCAAAGCAGCGCGTCGCTGCTGGCCTCTCAGAGAGTCGCCCCCTGGTGGTGCAGTGCACCCCCTTTTTTTGGTAGTACCGCCGACAGTTCGGTAGCCTCCAACAGGGCTGGCGTCTCCGAGGTAGTTGGAACGTCGCCCACAGAGGCGCGCCGACAGCATGCTTTCAATGGCGGCAAAAGTTCCTGCCGCTAGTTTGCATCAGTCGTGTGTCACGCGAGCCTGGTAGGTCTCTTCAGCTGTGTCAGCTCTTTCTACCGTGTCGGTTCTCAAGCAGTGCTTTCTTTCCGCAGCCTTTTGCAGCTTAGTAAGTCGCCTCGTGCCCCAAACTCCCTCGCTTTCAGCGGAAGCCTCATCCTGCCGTCAGCGATGGCGAATCCTTCCAATGAGCAGCTGCTGCAGGCGCTCAGCGCAGTGCCAGAGGCCCAGAGGGCTGCCCTCTACGAAGCAGCCGTCTCCCTATCAGAGATAGGGGACGTGGTGGTGAACGCGGCGGAGGCAGCGGAACTCGCCGGTTGGACGAAGCCCGCCAGTGGCGGCACAGAAGCCAACGCAGTTGCGCTGCAGCGAGTTTTGCTCGGCTACGAGCCCCCAGTGGTGCCGGCCAACACCGAGCCACCAGTGGCGGCTCGTGGTGTTTCTTCCGATGGCCACCGCAGCGCGGCAGCCAGTTTGCCTGTGGCGTCGGCTGCAGAGCAGGCCACGCACCACCGCTCCCCGACCAGTCCCGCTGAGGAAGCGGGGACTGGCGTCAAGGAGGAAGCGCTTCCAGCGGAAGCTCCTCTGGCAGAGCCAGAGGATATGGACGTGGAGGAGCCCACCGGGCGGCGGGATGAAGATGAAGATGACCGGGGCTCCCGCTCGGAAGAGTCGGAGTCCGAGAGCGACTCACCGCCGCCGCCAGCGCAGCGGCCTCCTCCTCTAGAGGGGAAAGTTGCCCGCAAGTCCTCCGGCTCCCGCAAGGACCCAGGCGCCAGCGGCGCCGGCCGCTTCAGCCGCTCAGCGCCACCTGAAGCGGCCTCCCCCACCGCCAGTGGCACGTCGTGGGGAGAGCTCTCGCCCGCGGCCTTGCCAGCAGCCCCCGCGCAACAACCCTGCCGCTGTCGCAGGCACCCGGGCCAGCGGCCCGGACACAGATAATCACGATGATCAAGATGATCATGAGGCGCAGCCGCCAGAGGTGAGGTGGACTTGTCCATCAGAATGAGATTAAAGACAATCTCACGTTCGTGATATCCTCTTATCCTTTTGCCAACAGGTGATATGTTCACCGTCCTTTCTTTGTAATCGTTTGATCACGCCTTTGTGAAATGGCTCATGGTGCTCCCGGGCACAAATGTATTTGGGCATGCCGCATGAATTCTGTCCTTTATTTTTGAATTGTAGTCGGATTCGCTTTTAAATGTGTCGACTACTTTTCAATGCTTAGACAATTGTTGTCTGATGGACCAATGCTCCACTGAAGGTTTTGGCTCCGATGCGGAGCTCACATGTGAAAAATTTTGAGGCCTCCATGTCCCCTTGACATTCTAGCAGGCCTCAGGTGCTAAACTCGGTGTTGGGTCTAGCCCGCCAGTGCGTGCATGGGCAGCGAAGGTTCCTTGGAGCCCGAGCGTGACGGGGTCTCCAGTGCAAAGTTTCGGACTGTCCGCCGGTGCATGCATTGCTGCTTGCTCAGGGTTTCCCCTGAGCCATGGATCCTTCACAGGCCCATGCGGCCATGAATCGCGCATTGGACTCAGATACTCCTCCGCCCGTAGGGTTTAGGATGGGGGACTGGTTTCGGGCTAGGATTAGGTCTGCTAGGGCACCCTATCAGCCTTCAGTGCACCATGCCATGTCTGTCTTGAGCGCGGCTGCTATCGACATGCCGCTTCCTTGGGAGTCAGGTTCGCTAGCGGCTGTGTTGGGGGCAAGGCGTTTCCTTTCTGCGCCACTCGTACCATTGGTGGCCGAGCAGGTTGGGGACCAGCCACAGGTGAGGGAAACGGCTCAACGAGTTAGGGCGTCTAAGGAACCTTGGAAGTCTTCGGTCGTGCATTCTCGTGCCTGGGCGGATGTCGAGGACGATAAGAGGACCTCGGTGCTTGAGATGTGGAAGCTCATTGTACTGACTTCAGGACGAGGGACTAAGGTAGGCCGGGATCTTGTTAAGATGCAGAGCGAGGGTTCCCCAGCCGCCTTGGTCGATCAGTGCCTCCGTGATGTGTTCTCGGCAAAGTCAACTTCGACCCTCAGGTCGAGGGCATCCAGCCTGGCCCAGTTTTCCAGGTGGCGGGCATCGGTCGGACTTGACCCTGCAGTGTTTCCTCTTGATGAGTCTGATGCATACCTTTACTTGTGCTTCCTTAGGACCGAGGGGGCACCCCGGTCAAGGGCGTCCAGGTTTCGAGAAGCGGTTAACTTCTCCGGAGCACTGCTCGGGGCAGACGTAAGCGAGGTTGCTTTATCTGCTAGGGTTCAGGGGGCCGCAAATCCTCAATCCCAGACCGTTGTGGTGCGCAAGAAGCGGTCGCTTACAGTGGCCCAGGTCCGTGGCCTGGAAGAGTGCGTGATCAGCTCACCTAATGATTTAGCTGCAGTGCTTGCTGGCTTCGCCTTGTACTGTCTTCACGGCCGGCTGCGTTGGAGCGATGCCCAACATACCGAGGCCGAGCCGGTGCTTGACTTGCATGAAGGAAAGGGTTTCTTGAATGCTCAGTTGTATCATCATAAGACTGCCAATCGTGGGTCGCTTGCCCGGCATAGGCTTTTGCCAGTCGCTTGTGTTACTCCAGGCTTGGCCGAGGGAAACTGGGCTGAGGCTTGGCTAGCTCGCAGGCGAAGGCTTAACCTTGTTGCTTCCCGTGGCACCCCTATGATGCCGAGACCATTGTGCCAAGGGGGGTTCGACGTGCTGCCCCTCGATCCTTCGCTAGGGGCCCTATGGCTTAGGGAGATCCTAAAGGAGTGTGCGCCTTGTGGGAATTCTTTTCCGTGGGGTGAGGTTGCCACGCACAGCCTTAAGGCTACGCTTCTGAGCTTCATGGCAAAGGCAGCTGCGTCTGAGAACCTCAGGTCCATTGCGGGATATCATATCAGGTCTGCGAATTCTTCCACTCTTGAGTACTCTCGGGATTCGATGGCACCATCGTTGCATTTTCTTGAGGGCATGTTCATTGCTATCAAGGGTGGCATTTTCGCTCCAGATTCGACCAGGGCCGGAAGGTGGACAGGAGGCATTCGCTCCATTGAGGAGGCTCTCCGTTTCCTGTCTGGGGTTCAGCCGGACCCACCAGACGATCGTCCACCGCCGGCGGACGCGCCGGAAATCGAACCTGGGGATCAGTCAGATCCTGAGTCCGCTGCTGAGAGTATCGGAACGGAGGGCGAGGCTGATGAGGCCGTTGCTTCCGCATTTTTCTTGGGTGAGGATCTGAACGTTTCTGCTGAGGCCCGAAGTTTTGTCAAGTGTTTTAGGCATCGTATGAGTGGAGTTGTCCACGCGGCTCGGGATGGCCAGCCTCCTGATGAGGGCGAGATGACAGTCTTCAGATGTGGACGTTTTGCAAACCGTAATTATGAGGAGCTCGATGAAACTCCGGCAATAATCTTGCAGAAGTGCTCTTCGTGCTGGGGAGCAAGTGACTCGGGCCTTTGAGGAAAATTGAACCGGGGCGCGTTCTGCAGTTTGTCGTGGGTAGTCATTGAGGCTGCTTTGAATGAACGAAGATTCCCATCTCACGTTCGATGTGGCTGTGCTGCATGTTGCTTGAGGATGCTCACGCTGACACTTCATGTCGCATGTTGTCATGTTTTGCAGTTTTTCGCTCATGAGCGCATCCAGGTGACCATGCACGGTGAACATGTCCCTGTGTAGGTGCTTTGCTTGACATATCGGCATAGCTTTGTAATTTTTGTCTAGTGTCACATGTGACTTTTTTCCGTAGGTTGCGTCTTGCGGGTGTAGACATGTCCGCCATCGATAGCGAGGCTGTGTTCTTGTCAAAGTGCACTCAGCTGGGGCTGCCCGAGGATGCTCGGGGAAAGCTCAAACGAAAGGGCTGGGCCACTTTCGGCACTTTTGCATTCTGCGTGCCAGGGGAGCCCGGAAGGATTCCCGATGATGTCTTCAAAACCTCCGTTGTCCAGCCAATCCTCGGTGATGGGGGTGAGGAGCATCAGGCGAAACTTAGGCGGCTCCACTTCGAGGCATATGCTTTGACAGCAGCTGAGCTGAAGCGGACGGCCGAGTCCACGGAGTCAGATCAACCGCGCAAGGTCCCGACGGCAGAGCTCGCTGCTCGTTATGATGTGTTGCAAAAGCGCATTAAGCCTCTCCGGCTTGTGGACCGCTTGGAGCCTTCGCATGCGCTTGTCAACCTGTCAGCCCAAATGCTTGAGGATCAGCGGGTGCGCTACATTGAGTGGTCGAAGTGTACTAGTCGTGCCCAGGAGATAAATCTTGTGAAGGAGGACGCTAGCTTGAAGCTGCTTCAGGGTGGCCGCTCAGGATCCTTCAAGCTGGTGGATCCCGGTGCTAAAATCACTGCTGATACTAAGTCTGACCTTGAGGTGATGCAGGCCTTGCGTCGCAGAGGGGTGGCATATGAACTTGCTGCCATCATGTCGTTCGAGAGGCACGAGGAATTGATTGACCGACTGTTCATGGAGTACCAACGTGAGCCCATGGCTGGGTTTCATCCCGTCTCCTTCTCTCAACTTCAGGCTGCGGACAGGGAGGTTCATGTTCGCATGGGGGAGCTCACCCGAGCTGGACTTGTGCCAGGGGCGGATGGCTCCTTGCCGCTTGACATCCCGGTGTCTCGGGTGCTGGCGGGCTCCCACATCCAGTGGATGTTGATGCCTCGGCAAAAAGGGTCCGGTCCCTTGGGCAGTTCGGGCGCTGGTGAGGCTAATGAGAAGCCAGACAAGCCACCGCGCAAGCCGCCCAAAAAGACGGATCCGTCGAAGGCGACGGATAGGGGTCAGGGCGCCGATAAGAATCAGAAGGCTGATTCCGGTGCATCGCCGAATGCGGCTGATCGACCTGGCAAGCCACGGAAGACTCGCTTCGTCATGCCAAAGGCGCTCATCGGTGGGGTCCCCAAGGACGGGGCCGGGCGTAACATCTGCTTCGATCATAACGCCCAGCAGGGAGGCACAACTGGTGGTTACAGGTGGAGACAAGTGGCACGCAACAACATTAGGCTGTTTGAGGAGATCATGCAGAATGGCCCGAGGTCCTGGCTTCGTGAGGTCCAGTGAGACAACGGGACATTTGCAACCTCGTTGCGCATGACGGTCTAGACCGACACTTAGCTTCATGCCTAGCTGCCTGATGGATGCACAGAGGCCCCCCGTACCACAGAAAACATCAAGAAACATGAGATTATCAAGAGGCACCCCCTTGACCTTGGCAGACACCTTAGACAGCAATGGCTCAAGAGCTCCGGCAGGCGGTGGAACATACGCCAACGGCGGGCAGGCCGTGGACGCTGAGACCGAAGGCCTAAACCCAAGGGATTTAAGGTGCTCAAAGTCAAGGCTGGGTAACTGAGTTGCATCCCCGCCCGAGAACAAGATGAGGACTAGCCTGTCGCCCGTCCAAGGCATTGTGCAATGCAAGCGCTTTCGTGCATAGAAACGCACTGGGGCTGCTGCAACGTCATACAATTCTCCAGGGACCAAGGACCCATTGACAGGCAGCATGTGGCTGCCGGACTCGGATTGGGCCCAGATGTGTCCGCCTGAGAAATTGGTGACAGCCAGCACGAGATTGTCAGCATCATCATTGTTCACGTCGCGGTGAACTTCAGTCTTAACGTTGAGGTTCAAAGAAATCGAGCAAAATGTGAAAACTGAAATCTTGGACCCGGCTTGCTGCATGGCCCAAGTGATGGCCAAGCTGACTGATTGGGGAAACGAACGGCAGGTGTTCGTGAGGCCAACGACGCCCCCATGCCGGAAAACGCCTGCTACAAAGGATCTGCCAGAATCCGAACCAAATCGCTCATCCAACCTAGCAGGTAACAAATTGAAAAGGCGCTCAACACAAGCTGCTGTCACAGGTTCACCAGACGACAGCACGTCTTGCGCAAATTGCTCTGCGGGATGCAAAGAGGCATGCACTCGCCGCTCAGCGGGCAAGGGAAAAACTCGCTCATCAATCACAACTTTCGGAATTCGATCAAGCACTGATGAGGCTGGCTTGGGACGTTCCAACGGACCAACCGGGTCGATCTGTGCCAACATGCAATCATGATTTGCCGCATGGGACGAGACCGAAGGGCTCATCGCTTCATCAACAAGAGAATCGGCCTCGGCAGCGGCAGCCTCCCGTCACTCGTGGACTTTGTAAGTCGGGCATTGAAGAAGGGAGTGGGGCTGCTCGCAGAACATACAAATGTGCAGGCCCCGTTTGCAGCTTTCACCGCATTTCGCAAACTTACATCCAGCCTGCAAATTAAAATTCCAACACAAGCGTTTCTTCGTCTTCCTACAGTTGTGCTTCAAGCGAGAGTCAGACAACGCCTCAGGACATTTCCCTTTGCCAGCACCTTTGTTGGGACGGTGAGGCAACTTCGGCTTGCCGTCGGCATCGCGTTTGGTGCCCTTGTCGCCTTTTCCATCGCCTTTCCACTTGGCCCCAGGAAGCGGTGCCAAATGCATCATGATTTTTGGATCATACTGAAGCTTATCCAGAGCAGTATCCATCGGAAGGTTTCCTGCATCGTCTTTCTTTAACGTGGTCAAGAGCTCACTCATACGAACCCAAGCCGCCTTGTCGCACCTGAGCAGCTGCTCCATCGAAACCTTGGCGTAATAAGGAGGCGGCTGTTCCGACAGCTTGGAAAGCAGATGCCTGTGCCACATGTCCATGTTGGCAAAGGTGCAGAGCTGCAAAAGATCACAGGACAGTGCCCTGCGACACAGGGCTTCAGAGAGCTGTAATTCATTCTGAATGCCACACTTGTCCTTGTGAGCTTTGTCGCGGATACTCATGCGCGAGCCCTCATCTAAGATCAACTCCTTCCCCGGCTTCTCACGATTTACCTCCATGGCCCTGGTCAGGAACCTGTGAGGCTCCAGGTAGGAGAGGCAATCCTGATCAACGACCTGGGCAACATAAGCGTAATTGCTGAAGGCGTTTTCCAAAGGACCTGTCAAGCTGAGACCGATGAGTCTTTTACGCTGATCGGCCAGGCGAGTTGCTCGCTCTGCAGGGGCCAGCTCCGCCTTCCGGTCACCTTCACCCTCGATCGAGCTCTTGAGTTGGGCAATGGATAAGGTTTGAGCTTCAAACATGAGGCGCCGCAGCGCCGACAGTGCACCGAAAGGACCCTGAACGCCAGAGAAGCTTTCACAGCCTGAGCTTGGGGAATCCCGCAAAGCAAGAAACCGAAAGCTCAACCCACGTGTCTCGGGCACCGGGCTTTCCCAGTGCTCCGCTACCATGAAAATCTTTTGTGACTCTGAAGAACGCCTGCGGGTAATCAACATGTCTTTCGCATGCTCAAGTGAAAATGAGTGCAACAACGATAAAACAAATACACCACAATACGGTATGCAACATGGAGAAATCATCAACAAAAAGACAAAAAGGCTTCTGCTGTTTTTCACCAGCGGTGACAAGGGGTACCTTGTGCACTGAGGCATTTAGCCTCGAACCTGCAGCTACGGATGGCGGAACAGGCATCGCCTGGCGGAACAATCATCGCCTGCAAAAGACTGTGTGAACCGATATCAAGAATTCTCCCCGAGAACGCATTATGAGCGAGAGCACACGCGGTCGCGCTGACCGGATTGGCAGGGGTTTGCAAAGGGATTGATTAGATTCACGCATGCGGCACTCGGCTGCAGGCGGCGTCACGCGCAGCAAGGTCTGAGATGCAATTGGTGTGGGTGGGCGGGAGAGAAAAATTTTCTGCAACCTTACATGTGCAATATCATATCCGTAGTTCGTCCAGTGAAGCTCAGAGTGCACATGTCAATGTCATCTGAAGCTTATGCACAGTTGGCTTCAAGATGCCTTGAGATGGCGAGCGCAGGTGACAAGAAGATGCAATATAGCACCACTTGGCGCTCACATTGACAGAAAATTTCGGCAGCCATTTTCTTTAAAAATCCAAGCCCGATTTTTCAAGAAAATAAAAACTCAAGATATTAAGGGACTATCAGCGCACGCACTGACGGCCTCCTTAATATCTTGAGCATAAACGGCTGCCGGCTTAGGGATCACGCTTAAGGGCTTGGGAGCTTGGCTTGCGGTGCTTCACACTCAAGAGCAAACAAGCAATGCACTCGACGCTCCAAAAGGCTTCTGCTGTTTTTCACCAGCGGTGACAAGGGGTACCTTGTGCACTGAGGCATTTAGCCTCGAACCTGCAGCTACGGATGGCGGAACAGTCATCGCCTGGCGGAACAATCATCGCCTGCAAAAGAATGTGTGAACCGATATCAAGAATTCTCCCCTTTTATCCGTTGTATTACTTGACTAAGATGCCCAAGACTTCGGACACGATGTTCTCGCACGGGAAGTGTGGGACGGGGCAACCTGACACGGTGAAGCTCCTTAGCACCTCACTCACGTGAAGGCTTGTCTTTTTTTTGTTTGTCGAGTCGACTATTCAGCGGGCGCTACGTACCCGTATCAGCGAATGGACACAGGAACGGCCTTTTCAGGCACGCCGGACTACTACGATGCCGCTTCCCAGGGCGGCAGGCCGACTATTGCGGCCATGAAAAGAGAGCTAAGTACCACGTCCTACTGATCTCATTTAGGTCAGTAGAGTTAGCTACGACAGTCGGAGTGTCATCATTCTGTACATGGAGGGCCGGATGGGCGGCATCCTCGGCAAGACTCCTTTGGAGCTCACTGTAGAAGGCAGCAGTCGGCTCTGCCTTTGGGGCCGAAACACCCATTGAGCGATAATGGCCTGAGTCCGGAGTGCATCCGATGTGACACACTACCGAGTTGAGCACATAGGTGCAGGGCTCTGTGTGAACACCATCGGTGAATGTGGGCACCTGCAGTCTTGGAGAGAGGTTAACTCTGTGTTGCAGTTTTCCTACTTCGCCTCTGAAGTCCCCACTGAATCGCATAAGCTGAATGCTCAGGATCGGTGGGGGTCTGACGAGTGCCGTGACCTCTCCCGTATCTTGCTCATAGGTCCAATCCTCAATGAGCTGCTGCAAAGTTTTGTTGGGCTTGCATGGTAGTGTGATGAGTGGCACAGGGCTCATTCGCTGATGAGCATGAAGAAGGGGCCCTTTCGTAGATCGGGCTTCCCATGAGCCATGTATTCCTGGCAGGCGCGCATGATCAGTGAGGAATGTGAAAAATTCAGCCACGTCATGTTGCTGGTTCATTCTGGGCCACGTCCTGAGTAAATCAAGCCACGCCTTCCTCCGATAGAGCTGAACTGATCCATTCGGATTGAGAAGGGGTCTCAGGAGCTGATGAAGATCCCCAAAGTGAGAGTTTCGATCTGAGGCCCGGGCAGTGTAGATCCACATGAGTGCCTGTACTAGCGAATTGAGGTAGCACAGATTGTGTGGGTTGGCGAGAACAAGCAGTGGAGGCGGTTCCAGATCAATGTGAGCAGCGACTAACGGATTGTTTGCAGCTCTCGATGATGCTGATGCCCCCGAGCTCTCAAGCCATTGCTTGAGCGTCCCTTGTTCCCTATGTTAGGGATATCCCCATGCTGATGTGTCAGCTTCCCCTTTTGGGGGCCGAGCTTCGGCTTCCCTGGATGGCTTTCTGCCTTCTGACCTCTTCTGTCATTGCGTTGCAGGTCTTCAGGCAGTACACCTGCTGGCAGTGAAGGCTTGTCTGCTATGTTCGCTGGGGATGGAACCCCTAGCGAACCAAGAAAACGTCTTGGCTAAAAATTCCACTATTAAAAGAAGTGATGCTAACGCCTTGCCTACATCATTCCGTGATGCGCCACTGATTGACACGTCTCGTGCGGAGTTATTATCCACATAAATTACAGCAGGTTTTCCTCTCAGCCAATCTTTCCACAGGACATATGCGATCACTATTGTGGCAAGTTCTGCCTCGAAAATGATGGTCCTGGACTTGCCCTCTCCTAGAAGGCACTTCTGAAAGACAGACAACTCCTGGGAGAACAATCCCAGGGGGTGGCCTTTGTGGTCGAAGCAGACTCCGCCTATGCCGCAAAAGGTACCTCCATCCTTTTCGGAATACGAAGCATCAGTGAAGATGTACATAGGCTCCGCCGACACATCTCTCAGCACGTGCGGCCAGTTGGCTTCAAGCAGGTCGGCAAACTGAAGCATAGCTTGCTTTGCATCATCGCTGAGGTTTGCTTTTGTCGAGCAGCTTTCACCCGCGAGGGCGGATACGCATAACCGGCCGGCCCTTCCGAAAAGCTGGCCCCCTGCAAAGACCATGCGGCCCCGAATGCGTGATAGATCCTTCTGGGTGAGGGTCGGGTCATCAACTGCACGGCGCAGCGTAGAAGCAACTTCCAAGATGCGCTTTTCCGTGTTATGGAAAAGAACTTCTCCTTGCAAGAAACGTTCGAAGCTGACCCGTACCCCAAGCGCAGCAAAGCTCTCAGCAAAGGGTTTGTCCTCTTGTTCTCCGAAACCTTCCACCCTAACAACCTGAACAATGAAGATATTGCCAAGTCGACGGCTTTGGCTTCAACCTGAGTTGTTAAGCTTATGTAGTCGTCGAAGAAGTGTGACCATATCACCTTCAATGCCCAACACCCGATGTACCACATTGAGTGTGCCACTCGCAAGTAGGAAAATACTGCCCTGGTCGCCCCAAACGGGAGCGCTAGCATCTGCCGTATGATCACTCTGCGCTCGCGGTGGCTGAAGTAGGCAATGTACGCTTCCTTGAGGTCATCTGGAGAGATGAACATTTGCCTGTAGGCGCTCTGCAGGTCGTACGTTTTCCCCAGCATGGGGATCCCAGGTAGCTGTCTGAGGCACGCCAAGGCCATGGCGGCCACCACGTCAAGGGATTGAGGTTTGGGGCTCTCGGTGGTTTGAACAGACCCATTAACACCGCTATCACTGAGGTCATCTATTAAGCGGATCTTCCCCGATTGTTCGATCGCAAACCTCCTGCTGATTGTTGCCGTCCGCAGGCAAGTCGGCTGGGTCTATTGGTTCGGATAGCCAGCCAAGCTCAACTTCTTCATCGACCTTTTGCTCCAGCGGCTCATCTAGGTGCCCTTGAGATTTGATCGCTTCCAAGACCTTTTGCCGGGCCTCACTAGCCCCAGAGCGCAGCTGTTCGGATGTCCGTTTTGCTGGCTTGAAGGCTCCAGGAAAGACTCCAGTGCAGGGGGTCTGACCTGTCAGGTGCACTCCTTCAAGCATCTCATCAAGCACTCCTACATCCGGATATTTAAGATCCTCTAGAATCTCACGCCACAACAAGATCCTTTTCGGGAAGACAATTTTATTTGGTTATGTTTTCAATCCAAGCGCACAAACAAAGCATGAAGCACATGGACATGACTGCATCACAACTGCACTCACGGACAGAAACACTCGCACTGCACTGTTTCTTTTTAGAGCCAGGGGTGCAGACTGGTAACGATTCCGGCTCCACATTCGTGGCCGATGTTCAGAAAATGGCAAAGCTGAGAGTATCCTGCATCGAGATTTCCGGCACGTTCCCGCAAGTGAAAACATCCTGCAAGTGAAAGGCAGATGATGCCACTCCCCACACCAGAAGGGCGGGTGGGCGGGACAAAAAATTTTCTCACGCCTGCAAGCAAAACTGCGAGTACCAAGACAAGCATGGTAAGGCACTCGTGAGAAAATCAAAAGTCATGCGACATACTCCAGCAAGGCATGAAAGAAAAAGTGCGCATGAAAAATTGTAAACAATTTTTCCAAACATGAAAACAATCAAATAAGAAAACATCCCCCTTCGGGAGAGTTTGTTCTTATTTGGTTATGTTTTCAGTCCAAGCGCACAAACAAAGCATGAAGCACATGGACATGACTGCATCACAACTGCACTCACGGACAGAAACACTCGCACTGCACTGTTTCTTTTTAGAGCGAGGGGTGCAGACTGGTAACGATTCCGGCTCCACATTCGTGGCCGATGTTCAGAAAATGGCAAAGCTGAGAGTATCCTGCATCGGGATTTCCGGCACGTTCCCGCAAGTGAAAACATCCTGCAAGTGAAAGGCAGATGATGCCACTCCCCATTCAAGATCAGATGCCGCTAGAACAACAGCTCTTCGCCTGGCATCCAACGGACTCTGAAACTAGTGGGGAGCTTGTCAAGCACAAAGCGTGAAGGATCGTCGGCGGGGTTCACAGACGACTCCACTCTCTCGAACCATACACTAATTCCTTTCTCATCCTCAAGCATGCTGAGCTTGTTGAGCTGCGATGCCACCACCGGGGATTCGGAAGCACACTTGATGAGAGCCGCGAGGGCGGCTTCATTGTCGCAATAGCAAATGAGGTTGCAGTCACTCAAGGAATTGCAAAGTTGCACCACACCCTGCACTGCAGCACAAGCCTCCAACTCGTAGATCAGACCTTTCTTGCCTTCCTTGTTAATGGCCTCTAAAACGTCCGTGTCGACAGACTCAGAGTACCACCTAAGAAGCAAACCCCCATCACTATAAAGGATGCCCCCTAGACCTGCTGGCACATCCGCCTCATAGGAAGCGTCCGTGAACAAGTGGTAGGTGGGACGATCACAGGCCCTGATCATCCTTGCTTCCCCGTGCAAAACTCGATCTTTCAAGAAAAGCAGGGCCTCGGTCAAGGAGTCGTCAAGAGCCACAAAACCTGAAAGCTTCATTGCCTTTGATATAGCTCGCATGCGTTGGGCCGCACCCCGACCAAACACCTGCGACTCGGCAAACTGAAGACGGCCCCGCAGGCACTCAAGCTCTTTGGCATGCGCTCCACCTTGCTGCACGATGGATTCGATGGTGGACACAAGCTCGCGCTTCCTAGCCTCTGTGTTTTGCACCCTAAGCAGACCTAAGTGGATCTCGTCCAAGCTAAATTCTACGCCTAAGGCTTTTGCCACACTTTTGAACCCGGCGTCCTTTTCATCGGACGTTCCCAGCCGATCAAGGCAAAGTACGACCGTAACACAAGATCAAGGTGACCCTTTTCCTCGGGCGAGGCCACTACCACATAATCGTCAAAGAAGACGGACCAGTGGATGTGGAGCAGGGCTTGTCCAACTGCCCAGATCGCCCCTGATGCACGACAAAAGCCTTGTACAGAGGGCTTTGCGCCGAAAGGTAAGACCTGGCTCTGGTAGAGCTCAGGCTCACCCGTATTCGGGTTAAGCACACATATATAAGCATCCCCCAAGGCACGCTCCGACAAAGGAAGTTGCTTATAGGCTTTTCGTAGATCTATTGTACGAAGGAGCAAGCGTGCGTCCCTCCCGGACTTCCGTAGCGACCTGCACCGCTTCAAGATCCCGGCAACAATGATGTTCACTGAATGCGGGTCGATGGTTTCCGCACACGTGCACGACAAGTTAGCCAGGCTTTCTGTGAAGTCGTCGATAGGACAGATCTTAGCCGCCACACCGGTGGCCGTCGTCGTCACAGCTTGCCTGACGCCAAAACGGCGTGTAACGATGGCAGTCTCTGGCACATCGGCGAGAGTGAAGGGGCCGGTCAGCCACCCTTTATCCCGCTCCTCCAAGGTAAGGCGATACACTTCCGAAGTGATTTCAGGATCCCTGCAAGCGTCCTCGATGCTGAGAGATGCCACTGTGGTTTTCTTCGGCAGGACGGACGAGGAAGGGATCTCGCCAAGCAGGTCGAAACCGTTATGTATATCTCGTACCAAGTTCACATCAGCATGTCCGGCAGCCTCGACCATTTCCCCGAAGAGTTTCATGGGTTTTCCAGCTAGAATCTGCTTGCAATGCGCGGGTCCATCAAAACTCTCATCAAGATCTTTCTTCCTAAGCATCCACTTGCGAAGTTCGGCCGTTCGTTCCCTCGCCACACTGACCGAGCTGTGCTCACACAAGCGATCGATACAGGCTGACATGCCGGCTGGCACGCCTTGATCCAAGGAGCGCGGGTGTTTCGCTTTGCAGGCCTGCTCAACGAACTCCGAAGGCGTCCATGGTATGCCAAAAAGCAGTTCAAGCTCAGATCTGGCACTAGGTATCGCACTGGCTGCATTTGGGGGCAAGGTTGCCGGTTGGCATTGGGGGGCTAGGGAGTCGGGACTACCTGAAACCACACCCTCAGCAACCGCAGGCAAGGCAGGTGCCGGCTGGCACAAGGAGGCAGAGGATTCAGGATTACCTAAACCCGCACCTATAGCTGGCTCCGAGGCAGGCGCCAGACCCCGTGGAACCAAAGGGCTGGCTCGGAGGCATTTGGAACCTGGCGGCAAAGATGCAAGAAAAGGTTGGCAGAAGACAGTATTGGGAACCGCCCACGGTGACACCAGCTTGGTCTTTGAGGTGCACGGCAGCTGGTCGGCCGGGCCTGCCAACTTTACTGTGCGAGCAAACTCAGGAACCAGTGGAGGGATCCTGCGACCCGAGGGTTGTGTCGCTGTAGCAACACGGGCGCCCATGGAGAGCGACAGGGAAGCATTTGCAAGAGAGGACGCCGGGGCACGCGCACCGCACGCAAGTAGCTGATCCACAAGTGCTTGGGCGAAAGTCTTGCACAATAGAGGCGGCAGGCCTGCATCTTTCAGGCGATTTTGTGCAGGGGATCGCCACGGTTCATGATCATGGCCGCCGTCACAAGTCACACCAAGCTTTTGCAGGTAGGGCACCGTGTGCAAAAGGCGAGTGGCCTTCCTCCGGTAGGAGCCGAACATGCATTGGTGCAGGGAGGTGGAGAGGAAAGGTGTAGACTGACAGGAGCGAAGTGACGCTGAAAGCCACATGATGGATCGACGGGTGAGCAATGGAGCAAAATACTCCATGGCTCCAACAGAAATGCCAGACCTCGGCAGGGCCCAGCAGGGAGGCACAACTGGTGGTTACAGGTGGAGACAAGTGGCACGCAACAACATTAGGCTGTTTGAGGAGATCATGCAGAATGGCCCGAGGTCCTGGCTTCGTGAGGTCCAGTGAGACAACGGGACATTTGCAACCTCGTTGCGCATGACGGTCTAGACCGACACTTAGCTTCATGCCTAGCTGCCTGATGGATGCACAGAGGCCCCCCGTACCACAGAAAACATCAAGAAACATGAGATTATCAAGAGGCACCCCCTTGACCTTGGCAGACACCTTAGAAAGCAATGGCTCAAAAGCTCCGGCAGGCGGTGGAACATACGCCAACGGCGGGCAGGCCGTGGACGCTGAGACCGAAGGCCTAAACCCAAGGGATTTAAGGTGCTCAAAGTCAAGGCTGGGTAACTGAGTTGCATCCCCGCCCGAGAACAAGATGAGGACTAGCCTGTCGCCCGTCCAAGGCATTGTGCAATGCAAGCGCTTTCGTGCATAGAAACGCACTGGGGCTGCTGCAACGTCATACAATTCTCCAGGGACCAAGGACCCATTGACAGGCAGCATGTGGCTGCCGGACTCGGATTGGGCCCAGATGTGTCCGCCTGAGAAATTGGTGACAGCCAGCACGAGATTGTCAGCATCATCATTGTTCACGTCGCGGTGAACTTCAGTCTTAACGTTGAGGTTCAAAGAAATCGAGCAAAATGTGAAAACTGAAATCTTGGACCCGGCTTGCTGCATGGCCCAAGTGATGGCCAAGCTGACTGATTGGGGAAACGAACGGCAGGTGTTCGTGAGGCCAACGACGCCCCCATGCCGGAAAACGCCTGCTACAAAGGATCTGCCAGAATCCGAACCAAATCGCTCATCCAACCTAGCAGGTAACAAATTGAAAAGGCGCTCAACACAAGCTGCTGTCACAGGTTCACCAGACGACAGCACGTCTTGCGCAAATTGCTCTGCGGGATGCAAAGAGGCATGCACTCGCCGCTCAGCGGGCAAGGGAAAAACTCGCTCATCAATCACAACTTTCGGAATTCGATCAAGCACTGATGAGGCTGGCTTGGGACGTTCCAACGGACCAACCGGGTCGATCTGTGCCAACATGCAATCATGATTTGCCGCATGGGACGAGACCGAAGGGCTCATCGCTTCATCAACAAGAGAATCGGCCTCGGCAGCGGCAGCCTCCCGTCACTCGTGGACTTTGTAAGTCGGGCATTGAAGAAGGGAGTGGGGCTGCTCGCAGAACATACAAATGTGCAGGCCCCGTTTGCAGCTTTCACCGCATTTCGCAAACTTACATCCAGCCTGCAAATTAAAATTCCAACACAAGCGTTTCTTCGTCTTCCTACAGTTGTGCTTCAAGCGAGAGTCAGACAACGCCTCAGGACATTTCCCTTTGCCAGCACCTTTGTTGGGACGGTGAGGCAACTTCGGCTTGCCGTCGGCATCGCGTTTGGTGCCCTTGTCGCCTTTTCCATCGCCTTTCCACTTGGCCCCAGGAAGCGGTGCCAAATGCATCATGATTTTTGGATCATACTGAAGCTTATCCAGAGCAGTATCCATCGGAAGGTTTCCTGCATCGTCTTTCTTTAACGTGGTCAAGAGCTCACTCATACGAACCCAAGCCGCCTTGTCGCACCTGAGCAGCTGCTCCATCGAAACCTTGGCGTAATAAGGAGGCGGCTGTTCCGACAGCTTGGAAAGCAGATGCCTGTGCCACATGTCCATGTTGGCAAAGGTGCAGAGCTGCAAAAGATCACAGGACAGTGCCCTGCGACACAGGGCTTCAGAGAGCTGTAATTCATTCTGAATGCCACACTTGTCCTTGTGAGCTTTGTCGCGGATACTCATGCGCGAGCCCTCATCTAAGATCAACTCCTTCCCCGGCTTCTCACGATTTACCTCCATGGCCCTGGTCAGGAACCTGTGAGGCTCCAGGTAGGAGAGGCAATCCTGATCAACGACCTGGGCAACATAAGCGTAATTGCTGAAGGCGTTTTCCAAAGGACCTGTCAAGCTGAGACCGATGAGTCTTTTACGCTGATCGGCCAGGCGAGTTGCTCGCTCTGCAGGGGCCAGCTCCGCCTTCCGGTCACCTTCACCCTCGATCGAGCTCTTGAGTTGGGCAATGGATAAGGTTTGAGCTTCAAACATGAGGCGCCGCAGCGCCGACAGTGCACGCAGTGGCACAGTCGTAGGATCCGTGGGATCAAGGATGGACCTGAGCTCAGCTTCCTGCGGCACTTCTCCCGGAGTCGAAACACTGAATGCAAGGAGCGACAAAGAAGTCAGCCCCTTACGCACAAGCACATCGAGCTCAGCTTGCGCCAATCCGCATTCTTTGGCCCTCTCCTCAAAAGCCGCTTGACTCTTCAAGATGGAAGCCATGACACAAAATCGGATCCTACACGCACAGACCTAACAAAAGCTCAGTGTGCATGCCATAACATCGAAACACATCCGGACTCCCGCAAGGTAGTGACCAACATGCCATGACACATGATCCCGCAAGATGTCTGAGCCGTCCTGCATGTAGTCAACAAAGACAGTCCCGCATGCATTCAGCAAACACTCACTGCAGTCAATCTAAGAACTCGGGGCCTCTAGGCTCGGGGTCTGACTCCTGCAACGCACCGGGCAGACTTTTACGAGGACCTCGGAATCTTCTTCAAGCGCTCGTCAAGACAGTGCACCAGGGACCCTAAATCCCTGATGGGCTTTCCCTTCCAGCATTGCTTGCAGCGCCAATGCGCTGCTTGAACCGCCGACGTGAACGGCTTGTGGTTCGCCGTGATGTCACGACCACATATGAAACGCTCCGTGGAGCTTCCCGCAGGCTTGAGATGAAGAGTCCTCGTGCTCTTCTGCTGATAGACCGGGCACCGATCATGGTACCTCTGCCCCACTTGGGGATCTGCCTGACTCGCGGTCAGAACTTCATCTATCTCGCTGTCAGACGAGCCTGAATCTGAACTAGACTCGCTAGACGAAGAGGATCCTGACACATGACCTTGGGGACCATCGTCTTCAAGGGCAGCATCGGGGTCCTCCCAGGCAGCTCGTTCCGCGCTATGAATCAAGGAGTCCACAGGACGACCAAAAGGAGTGTCGTCGTCGCTGGCATCCTTTTGATCGCCGAAAGCTGGCTCGGAGGCAGGAGCACTCACACTACGAAGAGCTTCCGATTCGCAAGCTGAGCCAGGGCTGACTGCCGGCCGATACCAGTTTCTTTCAGCCTCAGTCTCAAACACACTGTCACCAGGTAGCTCCTCGCCCGTTTCAGCAGCGCCAAGGACCTTTGCATAAAGCCCCGACCGTGTCATATCCGGGAGGTACCGGCCACACCGAATGTCACAGTACAATTGACACAACTCCCGCAACGGTCCAGCCTGAATGTCCCTGGAGTATGTAACGACCGATCGTCGATCCTTCAAGGAATGATGTCCCAAGATTGTGCAAGTGTCCTTGGACATGTCCGTCTTGCTTGCCCACGAGAGGGCAGTATGCTTGCACGAGTGGCCTTTGAGGTCAACCCCCATGCTCGCATCCCCGGACTTAAGGATCGAAGAAATCCAGGACACAAACCTGCCCGTCGGAATCCGACGACCGCTCCAAGACCCATTGAGCATAGGCGACTGCAGCAGAGGCAGGCTGCAGGCTCCAGTGGCGACTGGATGGCCCGACAAGCGCCACACCTCAACCCAAGCTTTAGCCCAAAGACCTTGACCCACACCCCGCTCTGGGGCCACTAGGCTCAACTCGAGCCCCAACGGGTTGCCTGTCGATGCACACTTGTGTGACGTTGAGATGCACTCAAGGAAACCTTCACCGTCGGCAAAATCGATGGTCACCATCTTGACTGCCCTCACATCCCCTACACGGGCTCTCGAGTGAATACAAAACAAGCAAGCACCTGCAGCATATCTGTCCCTTGCATCACGGCGGCTGTCCTGGACGAAAGCTTCAAGGTATGCCACCTCGCGAACCTGAAAAGGCCTGGCTTGCACACGAGGCGGACGGTTGAACCGCACCTTGCGAAGGCGCCCTTGCACAAGCGGGTGCTTGTGAGGATCACCAATTGCTTCCACACCCAAAATGAATCTAGCGAAGTTACAAGCTTCGATGCAAGATCCAAACACAGAATGCGAGGCACCGCTCTGCTGCAAATGCTGGGTGTATTCGATCAGCACCTGAGAGGCGATCGGAAAAGCTGACATGCCCTGGTCCGAGCACCATCCCACCATGCGAGCGAGACTGGACAACCGCTTCTTCAAAGTCGAGAGGGCCTTGCCACCCAGGGCTTCGGCAACAAGACCGACCCGATCTGCTTCGCACTTGTCCTTCAACAGTCTGCCAAGGGAAGAGCATTCGTATGCGTGGCTCAAGAGGACATCGTACCTCGCTGCAAGCAACTGCAACTGTTGCTCTTCGGTTTCTTGGGGCCTCTGAAATTTCCTGGCAGAGAAAGCGACCTGCACAAACTGTGAAGCATGCTCTTGGGGGCGAGCCTTGGCGGCTGCCTCCTCGAAAGAAGCGGAATCCAGGGGCTCCGTCTGCAGAGGAGCTGGCACACTGCACTGGGAGAGTGAACTCAGGTCGCTCTGCGAAAACACTGCTCTCATCGCCCCGCGTTCCCAGGGCATCTTGAGGGAATGCTTGGACACATGTTTGTCTGCAGCAAGCAACAGCCTGTCGAGCGGTCGCGCCATACCCCAGACTATGCGGGCGCTCACCTACGTTGGTAAATCCGACTCAGGCGGCCACGAGCTCGGTGCACAAGCTCAGCAATCGTACAGAAAATGGTAGCCACAGCTCGGCAACTAGCCCTCAAAGGAAACAGTCGATCCACACCAATGCCAAGCAAAATGTGGGCTCCGGCTGAGGCTGCTCCTAGGAACTGAGGAATACCCAAGCGCGCTGGCGGGTCAGGGCGCAAAATAGCAGACTGCCAGCCTCGAAGTGTAAGACGCTCCCAGAGCCAGAGGAGCAGAAGACGCCGCAAGGCAGGAGGCGGGCGCTGAAGCCGCCGCCGATCCATGCAGGGCCCCGACTACGCGGGGAGCTAAAGCCTTGCGTAAGGAGCCCGCAACCTGGTAGACGAGAGCAACAAGCCTCTAGAGGGCCCCGACAAAAAATTTTCTCACGCCTGCAAGCAAAACTGCGAGTACCAAGACAAGCATGGTAAGGCACTCGTGAGAAAATCAAAAGTCATGCGACATACTCCAGCAAGGCATGAAAGAAAAAGTGCGCATGAAGAATTGTAAACAATTTTTCCAAACATGAAAACAATCAAATAAGAAAACATCCCCCTTCGGGAGAGTTTGTTCTTCCTGGCATACTCGGGGAGAGAGCTCTTGAGCTTCTTCTCGTCTCCCGAAAGTTCGGCAGCGCGTTTGGTCCACCTGGCAAACCACTCGGCTCTGATGCTGGCTCGTTCGGCTGGCGTTGTTTTTGTGTTCGCATCTATGCTGTGACTTAGCGCAGAAGGCAGCAACGTGTCAAACCGTTTGGGATGTCCCGCTTGGACCGCTTTCTGTATGAACTCTTCTGGGGACCAGGATAGGCCCCACGCCAATTCAAGTCGGTCACTTCCCCTCTTATCCGCTGGAGCAATTGACTGTGTGCCGACACTGGATCACTGGGCTCGAAACGCGAGTCAACCCAAGGCACGGGCAGGCGGCTTCGAAGGGTGGGCAGGGCAGTGGCATCACTCGGCCCACGCATGACAATCACGGCTTTATGTTCTGGGACCAGAGGCGGCACAGCGGAGGCTTCAGGCTCGGGCAGGAAAGTGACGGCCTGAGCGAAGCACTGGGCGATGGAGGTCGCCAGCTGTGGGGGGTAAGCAGTCTCGGCTGCGGTGGCAAAAGAGCCATCCTCACAACGACCCCAGGGCAAGTGTTGGGCAGCACAAGCACCTCCGGGGCACACTCGACGCAAAGAATGGAAGGCCGGATGGTTGTGACAGAGACGCGTCCACTTGGGCCGGCGCCCTCCAAAGGCGCAATGCTGAAAGTCAGTATGCATAGGACAGAAGGTGGCAGCGGCTTGCCAAAAACTGGTGGACCAGTAGAGACTGCTGCGGGGGTTTTCCACGGCGATAATGAGGCCTCGGCTATGGGCTTCAGCACAGACGGTGGATGTAAAGTGATACAGCTGATTGGCCTTGTTGACGCGGACCATGTTGAGACCGGACAAGTGGGGCAGTCCATCAGGGAACTCGAGCGATCGGAGTGGGGCAGGAGATGGGCCGGGGAGCGCAATCTCCCGTGCACGGGAGCCGATGACTTTTGACTTTGAAAACGCGGGCGAGAGTTGCGGTCTCCACCTTGCGCGCAAGTGGCACAAGAACAAGTCCATTTGGACCCGGTCACTACATGTTACACGTGTGTTACATGTAACAAGTGACTGTGTACACCTACGCACACATTCAGCCATCGGCACGAGTGCCAGCATGGCGCCCCGACACGAGTGTCAGCGAGCCGTCAGTGAAACACACGAGTACGATGCAATGCAAAAGCAACAATCAAGGATTTGAGGACAAATACACAATGTAAGCACCAGCACTGCCTAAGCTACGATCCTTCGCACTCAGTTTCTTAGCTTTCACTTTGTCTTCAGTTGCAAGCTGCAGCCCATCATTCAAGTAAAGAATGCTTCGGTAGTGACCACTGGTTGGCAACTCGCCAATGTGATAAGTCACTGCACATACATGAAAAGGCTGCCACATAACAGCTCCAGCTCGGTACACCAGCAACTCACATGTAGAATCCACCTGCACCGGAGTGTGGCTCTTGCTGATCGTGGTGGCACCAACGTGGAAGCGTTGCAACACAATGCACACATGAGTTTCAAACTCACTGAGGCAATAAAGACTTGTTTTTCCCTCCCAGAGTTGCGAAGGCTTCATATGCCAGGCTTGGACACACTCTTGGAGAGTGTATCTTGTAGCATCGCCAGCACCTGCAATAGGCATCAAGATGACATTGGAGCCCGAATCCTCAACCTCGAAGCGGTCGCCTAGTTGTGTACCAGCCAGCCAGCGGCTCACCCAAGGAGCATCAGACCCCTGGCGCAACAGATGAAGAAGGAATTCCGTCGCATCATGTTGCTGATTCGGCCTGCTCCACCCCGTAAACAGCGACCTCCAGGAGAGCATGTTGAAGAGGCCATATCTTGCCGTCTACTTTTTGCGGAAGCCTGGAGCTGCTGTAAGAAAGCCACGTTATTTGCCATCTGTTGGGACTGCGTAGTGGCTGGAGCGGCATCAACAGGAGCTGCATCCGAAGGAGCCCCATCGGCAGGCATTGCCTCGGAAGCGGGAGGACGCCCAGGAGGACGGCCATCCACGATGGGCGGGTCACTGAGGCGGAAAGTGCCAAGCGCCGCCTCCTCTCGGTTCAGTTGATATACGCGTTCTCGCATTTCTGCAACTGGTACCTTTTCCTTCGTGGCTCGCTTAAGCAACTTAGCCAAATAGTTGACCGCATGGATACACAGTGCGTCCTGACGAATGCAATCTTTGACCTGCTCAACATACTCCGCTGTGATCGGGTCGAGGTCCGGCGCCTTCTGAATGGAAAGCAGCTGTTTGCTCACCACCGTTGCAGCTCTGCCTTCAAACGCACGGCGCGCCTGCATCAGTTTCATCTCCTTAGCCGAAGTCGAGGTGGATGAACCGGTAGTCGAGGAGGTGGCATTGGCAGGGTTTGCCGAAGCGACAGCTGCTGCTCCCGGGCTGTCCGTGACTCCCCGGGGGCGCCGGGCATCACTACGCCTTCGGGTGAGCGAGAGCGATCTCGAACGAGACACTCTGGCCCGTTCCGGGGTGACAGAATCGCGCTTCGCCATGAGTTGGCCAAATCGACCGTCCGCCGACAAGAGGCGGATGTATCGATCAGGGTCCGGATTTGCCAGCGAGTCACTGGAGTCCGCCCGAGCAGGTTTTCGCCGACGCTTCCGATCAGTGGTCTTCCGCTTGCCATCCGTGGCCTCATCTTCAAAAGTAGCAGAAGTGCGGCCTCTGGCGTTCGCCGAGACAGCCGTGGCCGACTGTCTGGTAGAGGCATCTGGTGTGACAATAGCCCTGACCGGTGGAGTGGTTGATACCCGCGGTGAGCCTGTAGCCATTGGTGTGGAGCCAGTGGTAGGTAAAGCATTGCCCCGATCTGTAGCATCAGCATGACCAGGATCCTGTCCAACAGCTGAAGCCATGGTATCAGAAATCAGAAGACTTGCCACCAAGGCCTGAGTCCGCAGAAGGCGCTGTAGTGTCGCCAGCTTGGTTGGTCCATACCGTCCTGGTTTCAAGGCCAGCGCTCAAACCTGTACTGGAAGTACTCCTGATGGATTCGCTGGCATCGGGAGCGGTACCAGGTCTACGTCGAGGCAGAGGTGACCAGTGAGGGCGGATGCGTCCCAGTGCCGGACGTTCCGACACAGGGTTCCCTCGCCCGACATAGGTCTACGCCGGGGTAAAGGTGGTCGTCTGTCACCAGGCATGGGCTCCTCCGGACATTCCGGTGACCAAAGTGGTTCCATAGCGAAGGGGCAGAGAACAGGACAGCCCGCGTTGCAGTCCTATGTAACAAAAAAGAGCCCACAGAAATAAAAGCAGGAAGCCGTAGTCTCATACCAGAAGAAGCCTCTGCAAGGAAGTAAGACTGCCTGATGTAACCAAATGGTCAGAAATGATGGGCTGAGAGCATCAGACGCCATAGTAGGTACAATCAAGGGGCGCATTGAAAGGCAGTGCAGAACTCGAATGCTTGCATGGACATATACGGACACCTGTGAGAGGGCCTGACTGTAAGCTGCATAACTGATCAAGGCGCGGACAAGAGGGCGTAGAGCCACGTGCACCAGTATGGAGAGCACTCGGCAGCGGCACACCTGAAAGAATACACACCATCCGAATAACTCCATATCCACTCTGGCAAACAAGAGCTTGTAGAGCATGCCAGGAGCCAGACGTATATCCGGAAGCCTCTGCTCGCCCCCCCAGCGAGAGAACAAGGCTGCAGCAGAAGCATCGTCACAACCAGAGCGAGTGAAAGAGCGAGGATTTTTTTTTCATGGCTAATACCATGATTTGCACACCGCTATCACGCATCTCTGGGGACCTCGGAAGAAATGGCGCACCTGGAAAGAAGCAGCACGTACACTTTCTCAGAGATTTTGTCCGCAGGAACAGCCAGCCGTGGTACGCGACTATCATCACACACTCGCACAGCCCCTGCAGTGTGAGACACCAGTGCAGCACGATAGTGACCTCGCACAGGCGTATCACCCTCGTGGAGAATCAGAGCTTGAATAAAGTAAGCATCCCACTGCGAATCCCCTGGACCAGTCGGCAGCATAAGAGTGCCTGAACCAGGGAATAGAGGGTGCCGACGTTTGCGAATGAAAGGCCCACGCTGCTCAAAGCGATCAAGCTGTAGGAGAACAAAATCAGTGCCCGGCTGGACATAATGACTCTGGAGCTGCTGATGCCATCCCTGCACACATTGTTGCACTGTATCAAACGGCTGGGCGGGGTTGCAAGTCGGAAGAAGAATGAGGCCATCGCCCTGATCGTTGCGAGGCGCGGCCTCTACCAGGGGACCTTCAGAGTACCACTTGCTGAGAACGGGTAACCCATGGGACTGCAAGATAAGATGCATCAGAAACTCCGCCACATCATGTTGTTGATGAGGTTGCTGCCAGCCCGATACAAGAGTGCGCCATTCCTTCATTTTTGTAACATAGGACGGGCGAACACCGGGAGGCTTGAGAAGTTTGCTGAGCAAAGAGCGCAGAGGTGCGCCCAGACGATCCAGGCGGTCCCTGAACAAATGCGCCAAAGATAGAAAAACACTGTTGGCATAGCACATGTTGCCTCCATTGCCCAACATCGTCACTGGCGGCAAGTCCGCGCAGAGGGAGGAGCGAGTCACAGGTTGCGCAGCATTGCGTACAGTTTGGTCTGCTGAGACGAGGCCTTGGCGTGGACCTGTCGCATCCTGGCCCCAATCAATTCGAAGGGGCTGAGGCCTATCCACCGCACCAGCGTGGCATGAATCTGATCCTGCCGGAAACTCACATCCAGAAGGAACGGAACGGCCGCGTTCGTGGTCTCGGAGGTAAGCTCCTGCAGGGCCTTGAACCTGGTGAGACCATCGCACTTTTGGATGTGAGCCAGAAAGTCCTCGACCCCCTGACAGAACTCCTGATGTGAAACAGGCTTGCTCATGGTGGTCTGATTCTCGCTTTTGGCCGGATTCCATTGACGATACGTCCAACAGTCCTCCTTGAGAAGACCCAGTCTTTGGGCCTCGGTCTTGGCATCGGGTGTGTTCATGGTCTTATTTTCCAACGAAACTTCCGTTTGCGCGCGTTTGGGAAACCCTAACTGCGCTGCAGAGGAACCCTTTGCAAAGCACTCTCTCTTTTTCTCCTAGCGGACATGGGGGGTCAGTTCGGACCCGATCTTCGGGCACTGAAGAAACGATGCCACTGGCATCTTGACGGAAAAATTCGACCGCTGGTCGATGGTAAGGCGAACGACTGGTTCACCCCCCTACAAGGCACTAACCCGTACAACGGGAGGATAAGGTGAAACATTCTCTGACCTACTGGGTCTCTGCAGCTACCAGTGGCTACTCTATAGTCATGACGGCCTACGGCCTATGTACAAGAGCGCACTCTGTGCTGACGTCTCTCTGCTAGAGAGAACATAGGAGCGCTGCTCCTGGCAGATGCGGTGTCCCAGACCCCGCATACTATACAGGGTGTGGAGGGTGGGATAAAAACTTTTGGATCACAGATCCAACTTCAAGCCGAAAGCTGCACGGCAAAGATTGTCTAGTGTAACTCACACACAAGTGAAAACACTGTTTTCCTTTTTCGACAAACTTTGTCTACACTTTCGGCGGAAAATAAAACCCATTCACGCACGCATGATGGATGCTTATTTTCCAACGAAACTTCCGTTTGCGCACGTTTGGGAAACCCTAACTGCGCTGCAGAGGAACCCTGTGCAAAGCACTCTCTCTTTTTCTCCTAGCGGACATGGGGGGTCAGTTCGGACCCGATCTTCGGGCACTGAAGAAACGATGCCACTGGCATCTTGACGGAAAAATTCGACCGCTGGTCGATGGTAAGGCGAACGACTGGTTCACCCCCCTTGAAGGCACTCGAAGCCTTACTCACCCCCCATTCAGTCCGCGCCGAGTGACAAAGCCAACGGCACTGCGTTGGGCGGAAGGTATTGGCGCGCTGCGCCAAGCCTCTGAGTCTCTTCCCACCAGTCTCTGCTGGGGCCATCAGCGATGTTGCTGTCTGTCGGGACTCGAAAGAAAGCAGCCCTGCATTGCAGGGACTCTTCAAAATCCACTGCTTGCGAAACTATCGCTGCGCCTTCTACTTTCCGTGTGAAGGCCTTGTGCAGGGAGGTACGCGCTGCGTCGTTGTCTATCCAGACGAACAGGTCGCTGCCTGCTATGTGCTTGGCCCACAGCTGAAGGCTAAGCAAGTAGGGCAACAGCTCGCACTCATACACCAACTGTTGTTTCTGTGCCCTGGCAACCCATTGGGCTGCCACCTGGCTGCTAATCTGCAAGCCCCAGGTGAAGGCGATGCCTTCTCCAATGAGCACTGCTCCGAGGCCACACTTGGGCACCAGTCGCGGGGTCTCCCACTCGCAGGCCCCGTCGATATACAGGTGCACCTTTCTGCGCGCATGGATGGACACTCTCCTAGGCGGTCCGTGCACGACTCGTTGCAGTAGGAATGCCATAGCTTGGCACTGCTGCTCGGTAAGGGGGACTTGCTCTGGTCCGTCCCCAAGGACGTCGCCGACGCAGATCACTGCCATGCGGGTGTTTCGGCCCCAGGCCTGCTGCTCCGCGAAGATGAGCCGGCCGCGGAGGCTCTGCGCTTCCAACGGTGACATGCTCCCGCGCGTGAGGGCCTCGCTGAGGACCATACCCAGCTCTGCTGCCCGGGTCGGCTTGTTGCTGACGGAGATCTCTCCGAGGTGTTGTTTGGACAAGTCGACTCGCACGCCCAGCACGTCGAAGACTTCGCTGAAGTCGGCGTTCTTCTTGGGCTCTGTGGCCACTTGCCAGCCTAGCTTGTTAAAGAGGTTGGTCACTGCCAAGGTGACAAGCTTGGCGTGCGCGCTGCGCGTGAGAACCGTGAAATCATCGAAGAAGCTCGTCATCACCAGAGCAAGCTTCTCGCGGCCGATGGCTTTCAGCGCTTCGCTGCAGCGAAGGAAAGCGTGCACGGCCGCCACTGCGCCGAAAGGCATGCTATGCAGGTGGGCGATTTTAACCTTCCCACTCTGTGGGTCCACCATTACGATGCACGCAAATTTCTTGTGTGCGGCCTGCACTGCAAGCTGCTTGTAGGCACTCTTTAAATCCCAGGTCCTACCTACGATGCGGTGAGCCTGCTCTGCAGGCACACCCTGGCGCAGCCACTCCAGGCACACAGCCAGGAGTTCGTCGATGCTGTCGACTTGAACCTTCTCTGTGGTGCCGCAGCAGCTGTTGATAAAGCTGCTTTTGAAGTTATCTATAGGGCGTACTTTGCCCTTTTGGACAACGCCAAAACGAGACGATACTATCGTCTCGTGCAAACTGGATGGCGAGAAGTCTTCCAGAGACAGCCAGCCCTGCTGGCTTTCCTCTAGTGTGCTCTCCCAGACCTTGTCCGAGACCCCATCCTGCGAGGGGCGAAGCGCGCTGCGAACGCCGCGCATACCAATACTATGGGCATTTTGCAGAATAGATTTCTCATCTAGAGAAGGGGGCAGAATCTGCACCGGCCACAGCCCACTGGGCTGTATCCAGCCAAGAAGGGGAAAACCTTCACGCACCTGCTTGGCCACCGACTTGTCTGGGAAGTCGATGTCACTCAGAAGCTTTTCTAAAGCCACTGTTTGCTTAGGCTTGGTGACGCTGTTCACTTGAGCGTCAATCGAGGAGCGCGCCTCGGCCTCGAGGGCTTGGCACTCTGTGCAAGTCTTCGAAATCTGCATGGATGCCAATGTGCGGCGCTTGGCCAGCAGGACTGTGTCCTGATGCACTTCGGCTGAAATGGTGCGCTTGAGAGATAAAGGCACTGCCTCAACGTCCCTGGCTGGGTGGTCTATGAGATGCGCTCTGCGCACCCAGTGCAGTGGCTGCAGTGGGATGGCGATGATTGCTTTTTCAGTGGCCTCGATCCAC